GCCCGCCCCACGGGCACGGGATCACGCTAGCCGGCACGCCAAGCAGCGGCTGGAGCGTTCTCCAGCGGCGTCCATAAAGCAAGCGCCATTCCCCATTCCCCATTCCCCATTCCCCCCGTCCGTCTTGTCGCCTCAAGCTTCCGCCCGCCGAACATACAGCGTAGTTACACAGTACAGAGTACTCCGTACTAAAGTTATATATCCCGATTCCAACCACTACCACTACCTTATCTCCCTCTCTATTCTCTATTCTCCATTGCCCCAGACCAGTCCCCTTCCAATTCACTCAATCCCCTCTTTTCATCAAGCAATAATATATAAGCTTCCAAGCTTCACCTTGACATCACTAGCAAATTCCGCCAAAACAACCCGCCCCGCCCGCCCGCCCCCAGCACAATCCTTTCTTCGCGATATCCTTCGTCGATTCCCTCGCGCGCCCGGCCCACCCGAGAATCAACAACAAAGCTACGAGAACATAAGCTGGACGGACATATTAATTATTACAATCGCAGAGCGGGCTACATAATAACCGAGAAATTTTTTTTTTTTTTTTTCATCTCCCCTCCTTCGCTACCTTCAACCCGCATCGAACATAACATATAATCGCAATTGGAGAACAAAAAACCACACTCCCCTCCTGCGTCATTCCGCGCGCGCTACCCTCCTCCTCCTCTCACGCAAAAATAGGACACAACAACAAACTCAAAACACACCAAACACCTCGATCCCAGCACAGAGAGAGGCTACCCTACCCCTACGTTACACTCCGTCCATTAATATTATTATTCACCTAATACCAACCCTCCTCCCGATTATGGCCGCCTAAAAGCCCAGGCCCCGCGACAAAAACACAAACAAAAAAAAACAAACAAAAAACAAAAAAAAACAAAACATCGCAGAATATAAAAACAAAAATACATACACACACACCCCACATCGATTCTTATCCTCCCCCTCCTCCTACCCCCCATCCACAAAGGAATGCTTTTGCGACTATCCACCAGCCTCCACTACCCCATCACCGTCACCGAGCTGTTGAAGCGCCCTGGCGACACTATCCAGCAAGGCGAAACTATCTTCGCATACTACTACCGCACAACGGTGACGGAGGGTGACGGGTTGGGAAACAAGCATGATGTGCTCAAGACTTTTCCGACGAGGTTTGAGTCAGCGGTCGATGGGGAATTGGTGGCTTGGAAGGTTAGAGAAGGTGCGGTGATTGAGGGGCCGTGAGTGTTTTCTTTTTCCCTTTCCTCTTTTTTTTTTTTTTTTCTTTTTAAGATTGATATTAAATTATTTGCGGGTAATGCTAATTTTGTATTTGTTTCTTTTGGGTAGGATTGATATTGCGGAGATCCATGAGCCGTGTTCACATGAGGTTCAGTTTGGGGGGATGTGTGCGAATTGTGGGAAGGATATGACTGAGTAAGGCCTTTTGTTTTATCACCTATTAACTTTTTTTTTTTTTTTTTTTTTTTTTTTTTTTTTTTTTTTTTGATTTACCCTATATTTGTTTGACATGGTTTCTAATCTTTCCCCCTCAACTTATAGGTTTAACTATAACACCGAAGTTTTGGATTCATCTCGCGCCCCGATCCGTATGGTGCACGATAACTCTGCTTTAACAGTCAGCGAGAACGAAGCGACGCGCGTGGAAGAGGACGCGAAACGCCGCCTGCTCTCATCGAGGCGATTATCCCTCGTTGTCGACTTGGACCAGACCATCATTCACGCAACGGTAGATCCTACGGTGGCGGAGTGGCAACAAGACAAAGATAACCCGAATCATGAAGCGGTCAAGGACGTACGTGCTTTCCAACTTGTAGACGATGGACCTGGCATGCGAGGTTGTTGGTACTACATCAAACTACGGCCCGGGCTAGAAGAGTTCCTACGGGAAATTTCCACATTGTTCGAACTACACATCTACACAATGGGGACCCGCGCGTATGCGCAGCACATCGCCAATATCGTGGATCCAGACCGTAAGATTTTCGGAGACAGGATCCTTAGCCGCGACGAGAGCGGGAGTTTGACTGCCAAGAACCTTCAGCGCCTCTTTCCTGTGGATACGAAAATGGTTGTTATCATAGATGACAGGGGGGATGTGTGGAAGTGGACAGATAACTTGATCAAAGTGCTACCTTACGACTTCTTCGTTGGTATTGGCGATATCAACTCTAGTTTCCTCCCGAAGAAACAGGAGTTCAAGGGTTTTCCACGGGGCGCTGCCAAGGCGAAACGGGAGGCTGATTCAAAGGAAGCTGAAGCGGCTGGGACGACTATCAATGGGTCCGGCGCAATGGATGTAGATGGGAAGACGGCTACGGAGGTATCAGCGTTGGAGCAACTGGTTACCATGGGCGGAGGCGATAATCCGGTGTTGCTCCAAGAACAGGCCAACGAACAGGAAGAGGCGATCGCACATCAAGTTGAAGAACGACCACTACTACAGAAGCAGAAGCAGCTCGATGCTGAAGATGAAGCGGCGGAGCTGATGGCAGCGGCTGAGAACGGGGATTCATCCAGTGATGATTCTCACGACTCGTCACGGCACCGCCATCACCTGCTAGAAGACAACGACACTGAGCTGTATAAACTTGAAGAGCGGCTCAAAGCTGTTCACAAGGCGTTTTTCGACGAGTATGATAGGAGGCGAACTAGCTCGCTTGGAGGGAGAGTATCGGCACTAAGAGGTGAACGCGTCCCTACAAGAGATAGAGGAATAGATCTCCGTATCGTACCCGATATCAAAGTCATCATGCCGCAGATCAAGAGGCCTGTGCTCAACGCTGTGGTCCTGGTGTTTTCCGGGGTCCTACCTCTTGGTACCGACACGCAGAATGCCGATATCTCACTCTGGGCAAAAAGTTTCGGCGCCGCCATCTCTACCAAAATTAGCTCGAGAACTACCCATCTCGTTGCTGGCAGGAACCGCACGGCGAAAGTCCGCGAAGCAACACGATATCCTAACATTAAGATCGTAACGGTGCAATGGCTCCTTGACTCGATAACGCAGTGGAAACGAGTAGACGAGGAACCGTACCTCGTCCCCGTGCACCCGGAGGACAGGGGGGAATTGATCGGTGGCTCTGATAACGTCTCGCCAGCCGACGACTCCGCCAAGTCCAATGGCAGTATCGATGATTACTCGTTCCTCTCCTCGTCGGAAGAGGATGACAGTATGGCTGACGATGACGATGACGATGGCGACGGCAATAGCACCATTGAGACCGGCAGTGCGTCGAAATTGCGCCTACGGACCACCAATAATGACCTGCGCGATATTGATGAGGAGATCTTGCAGTCGGCCGGCCTCACGGAGCATTCCCTCATCGGCTACGATGCGGAGCAGCAGGCTGCCGTGCACGATGAGCTAAGGGCGTTTTTGGGGAGTGATAATGATGATAGTGAGAGTGATAGTGATTTGTCGCTCCAGTCGTCGTCGTCGTCGTTTAGCGCGCAGCAGCAGCAGCAGCAGCAGGGGGGGAAGAAACGGAAACGAGGTCCTGAGAGCGAGGGGAGTGGTGGGGAGTCGAGTGCGGGCGAAGGAGAAGGTGGGGATGGAGGTGAAAGAACTGCTGCCGCCGCTGCTGCAGGTGCAGGTGCACCGTCAGGGTCATCGCGCCTAGCGCAGAAGATCAAATTGTCCCACGAGAGGAATACGGGGTTGAAGAACGTGGCGACGATTCGATCAAGGGGTTCGTCTGAAGCACCCCCTACATCTGTGTCTGGTGCTGCTGATGCTGGTGCTGGTGCTGGTGCTGGTGCGACGCCTCCGCTACGTAACCACCCGCCAAACGCGGAGGATGATGACGATATTGGCGATGAGTCTGATACGACTGAGTATAATAATAATGAGGAGAACAACGATGTGGATCCTGAGGATGATGATGATGCGTTAGAGAGGGAGATGTTGGCGGCTTTTGAGGATGGGGGGTGGGGGGAGGAGGAGGAGGAAGGGGTGGGAGAAGGCGAGGAGGAGGAAACAGTCGGCTCGGGTACCTGAATTGTGTATCTATCACCTATCAACCTTGATATCTAGCTACCAATCTGTCCAACAAACTTTATTAGCATAGCGAGGGCGTTTTGCTTTTGTTATTTTCCACTCTCCCCCCCCCCCCCCCCCGGGCCCCCCGGCGGGGCCCCTGGTTGTGAGATGAGACATATATAGGCAGCTATGTATGCAGCTATGTATGTATGTAGCCTGTCTTTGGCGGTGGGTTGGTTGGTTGGTTTTGCAATTTGCTTCAATTTTCTTTATAGCTTTTCGTCATTTCTTTTTCAAAATTCAGGTAGTACTCCGTTTATTTGGTTGGTTGGCCCTAATTCATCCCCCGTCTCGGATTCAGTTTTGTCAGTCCCCCCTCTTGAATCTTGAATTTTTCTTGCCCTTCTTCTCCTTTTTCCATAGGTGTTTTTGATTTGTCGTCATATTATATTCTCTGGGGCCATCTCTTTTCTTTCCCCCATTTCTTCTTCTTTTTCTTGTGTTTGTGTTAACATTTACGGAGTACATTGCATGCATGATGTATATATGTAATGTATGTATTCGCCCATCTACCTCTTTTCTCTCAATTACTCCTCCTCTCTTCAATCTTCTTCCTTCTCATTTACCTTCTCTAGTTTTTTCCTCACATAGGTTCTGTTCTGTTCTATGCTATCTAACATATACGGAGAAAGGTTTTTGTTGTTCCAAGGTTATAGGTTTCATTTGTTTTTTTTTCTTCCAAGTAGGTAGTGGTAGGTTCATTTTATTCACTGATTCATTTATTCACTTTAAAAACTTCGTGAATGAGCTAGTTTAGCTTGCCTGTTTTATGTTAAACTGGAGCGTTAGAATTCCTGAGAGGTTTCGTTTTTACATCAAGACAGACTGTCTTGTCTCCTTAGGGAGTTGGAGATGCTGCAGTGTACAGTGGTCGAATTTTGCTGGTTACGTAGGTATAAGGTATGTGTGAGAGAGAGAGAGAGAGTGTGTGTGTGCAAAGAAGCACTGGGCTGTTAGAAAATTGTCAGTATAGATTAGATTCTATTTATAAGTAGTTATGTGCATATCAGATATCATGTTTTCATTCCGCTTCTATTGGTGAGATAACAAGACAAAAAAGGGGGGGGAAAGGGCAACGGAGACTTAGTGGGTTTGTTGTTGGTACAGCTTCTAACAGTTATGTGGGATTGATTATATTAAATTTGACAAAATTAGATGGCTTGTGTGGTGCAATTTCTTCTTCTTCGTCTTTTCCTTTCAGTACTTGCTTGCATGAAATGGGGTGGTAAAAGGAATTTTTTAAGAAAGTATACTGCATTTTCTAGCATGGGTAAGTAGCCCCCAACATACATAGCTCGTTTTTCCTTCCTCCCTTTTTGCTTTAGCGGTAGAAGTCGAACCTGGTGGTTAAAGTTAGCAACGGTAATGACATAGGAATGATTGATATGTAATGTATAAAAAGGAAAGAAAGAACGCACTTATCAGCATCCTGAGCTCCTTTCACTTGGCTCGAATAAGCGTCTTCCAAGTCTGACTGGATGATATTATATCTGTTCTTGCGAACTGCCCGCAGACCAGCCTCCTGCATGATAGCCGCAATAACAGCGCCAGACAGTGGATCATTCCGAACAATCAACGAGTCCAGATCTACCTCCGGCGACAGAGACATTTTGGAGGCGATGGTGGTGAAGATCAATCGGCGCTCTCGTCGATCGCGGAGAGAGGGGAACTCAATCTTGCGATCGAGACGGCCTGGCCGCAGCAGGGCAGGATCCAGCGTGTCAGCGCGGTTGGTGGCCATGATTACTTTTACGTTGCTTGTCTGATCGAAGCCGTCCATCTGGTTGAGCAGTTCTAGCAAGATCCGTTGAACCTCGCGATCAGCACCCGTTTGGGCGTCAAATCGTTTCGTGGCAATCGCGTCGATCTCGTCGATGAAGATGATTGCCGGCGAATTTTCGCGGGCCATGCGGAAAACGTCGCGGACCATTCGAGGACCTTCGCCTAGGTACTTTTGGACGAACTCGGATCCGACAACTCGGATGAAATTGGCCGTTGTGCTGTTGGCTACCGCCTTGACCAGCATGGTTTTACCAGTTCCGGGCGGTCCATATAGAAGCACACCGCGCGGAGGGTCGATTCCTACAGGAGTTATTTTGTTAGTTCATGAACATAGACGATACTGCCACATATTTTGATCGTACCAATTTGTTTATATAAATCGAAATGCGTTAGTGGTAGTTCGACGGCCTCTCTGATCTCCTGCTTCTGCATATCCAGTCCTCCGACGTCCGCATATGTCACATCTGGCTTTTCATCAACACCAAGCATAGCAATAGAAGAATCAGCTTCAGGCGGAAGTATGTCGACGAGGGAGTTGGAATGGCGATGTAGAGCGACGGAGGAGGAGGGTTTCAACAGTTCGCGGTCAAGCGTAGATAGGATGCGGACGACATAATTTGAGCCTGTTGACGATTGTACGATACCGGTACTATAACAAAGCGATAACCATCAGCATATCTAGAATATGACATGACAGAGAAAAACACTGGTTTGAAATCCTTACTTTTGGTCGATGGCCTCCATGAACTGGCCGATAACAAGAGGAACACTTTGTATGCGCTTAATTTCTTCCTGAGCTCGAACAAGCTCCCGCTTCAAACTCCTGTATAAACATTAGATAATAGAGTATGGCCCGGGGATTGTAGATATCATACCTTTGCTCATCCTTGATATATTCCTCCTGGAGATTTATGTACCTACGCAGCAAACGTCAGTCAGCAACCGATATGCCCAACGCCTAACGATAAAATCCCGACATACTCTAGATGCCGTTGTAGCCTCTTGAGGGTAGCATAGTCATCTCCGTCATCATTTCCAACCCCTTCCAGGGGGTCGATATTTGGGATCGCGTCTGCAGGTGTAGTCTTTTTGTATGGCGGCACCAGGGCCGCTGGGTTCTCAACCACGACGTCTCCCATGGCTGCTGGATTTTTGATATAGACGATGCAGGAGAAAATTTAACGTCGAATAGCAGAAGTTTTATTGGAAAATGCTTCAGGTAAGAATCTCGTGCGGATGTGGACAATGGGGGGTATAAGAGGGCAGGACAGACAGTTGGAGGTTGGAGTTGTCATTGGGCTTGCTCCAGATGAAGGCGACACCGTGCCAAGATATATCACGTGGCAATATTACCTCGTCCAAGCTGTTTAACAAGCTTGCTGTGGGCTATTTTGATGTACGTTATCATGTTGGTATTTCCAGTCCAATAGATAAATTTGATGGGATGCGTTAAATAATAGCCTGAATGCTTTCCGGAATATGATTGATCTTTCCGGAGCCTTCTGGTTTTCCTACTGGAATTGGCAGTATGAATCTATATCGTTCATTATCCACCGTGATATATGACGCTTGCTCAGCGCTGCGTTCAAGCTTAATGGCCTAACCAACCTCAGGATATATTTCCTATCCACCCATCTGTCCTTACATTACATAGAAGAATTAGCAGTACTTGTTGAAATAACTCGATTTTGACCATCAATCCGAGTATCGTCAATCCGAGTATAAAAAACCAATCTTAAAACGCACCAGTCCCCCACCACATACAATGAGCACTCTCGTAACAATCGGAGCCTGCTATCTTGATACAATTCTAACGTGAGAAATGTGTATACATATCGAGCGAGGCATGGATTCTAATACTAACCTTCCCCATATAGCGTTGACCACTACCCGGGAGAAGACGAAAAGCTCCGTGCATCCCGCATCTCTCGACGACGGGGTGGAAACACTCTAAATACGCTCGAAGTTCTTCAACAGCTCCTTGGATGCAGGTTCGTCAAAAGCCACCACTACCACTACTACAGCAGGGGGTACTAATAAGGCCACCCATGGATTGCTGGATAGGCAGCAACTGAACACGATCTCCGCGCTGTATGCCATCGCAGTGCTACCAGCAAAATCGTCACCGGCCACCAAGGAACTCGAAGCATCATTCGGTCCCAGCTGTCGTGTCGATCTCCAACACTGTATATACCGTGAGGAGTGCAGTGAGCCGGCCTCTAGTTATATCATTAAGAGTACCTCTACGGGTAGTAGGACTATTGTTAATTATAATGAGCTGCCGGAGATGATTTTGGCAGAGTTTGTGGAGATTGCGGGGAGGTTGTCGGCTGCTACTGTTGGTAGTCCTAGATGGTTTCACTTTGAGGTGCTTTTTTTTTTTTTTTTTTTTTTTTTTTTTTTTCCAGCATTTGTTCTTGATTCCCCAGCAATTTGTTATACGCATAGATATAGTTCCTAAAGCATCCTCTAGGGCCGTATACCAGATGTCACGCTGAAATGTATACAATATATCCGTCAAAACTTCCCTTCCGACAAAATCAGCGTGGAAGTCGAAAAACCCGGCCGGGAAGGTCTGCAGGAGCTAGCCGCAGCTGCAGATGTGGTTTTCTACTCGAAAAGTTGGGCACAGGTACCTCAAAACAGGAATTCTCTTATTTCAAAAATTTAATGAGAACTCAATAACCACTTACTTACCGGCCCTCCTTTTAGGCAAACGGCCACCAATCCCTCCAGAGTTTCCTACAAGCGCAATCACATCTAACGCCCCAAGCGTATGTTTTTATATCCGTTCAATATATCCTTTCATCCCCGTTCTTTGTGTCGGGAGTACCTAACAGGTTTTCTTTTATCTTTCAAGATCGATTCTCTGCTGCACCTGGGGTGAACATGGAGCGGCATGCTTAGACAAGAGCAGCATGGAATACATCCATTCCCCGGCGTATATTGACACGCAGCATGCGGTTGTTGAGTATGAAAAATATCCATCCCTCTCTTTTTTTTTTTTTTTTTTTTTTTTTTTTTTTTTTTTTTTTTTTTTTCCCTTCTTCTTCGTTTATTTACCTCTTCAGCACTGAAAGAGCTCACGCAAAAACTCTAGTACTATCGGGGCAGGCGACACCTTCATAGCCGGAATGCTATTTAAGTTAATCCGTCATCGCGACTCAGGCGACGATGGTTTCAGTCTTCGGCAGACCATGGATTTCGCGAATCGTCTTGCGGGGCGTAAGGTTATCCAGGAAGGGTTTGAGGGGCTGGCTTGATGCTGTTGATGCTGCCGCTCTGTTGTGAGATATTCACGTGTATATATAATATGATATTTAGGTCGATATAAGGCTGGCTATATTACATAGCTACTAGCTAACTAGCAAAAATCCCCCGAAAGAAACTTTTTGCAAAACACAGGCTTGAGAAATCAAACAAAGTAGCATAAGCAAAATACCTACGGGAATTTTGGGTTGGGGGGAGGCGGGTAGGGTAGAAAGCTTTTGGTAGATTCATTTGATATCCATACTGTCTCTGTCTTAAGCATTCTTGCTATAATCTATGCATAACCTCTTAAAAACCTGGAACTTGTAATCTATTTCCTGGGGCCGGCTTAAAATAGGATATATGGTTTCCCGTCTTTTGATTCGTGGTTTCGGAATTTTTTTGTCTGCAGGCGATGCCTTGATGGATGCGTCATGATGAATACCTGATGGCGACGGTTCGTACATCGACCAATTGCTTTCTCAAATAGTAATGAAGGTCAAATAGGTAGTTGTAGCAAAAGCAAAAGTTTGATGGAATTGGCAGTGTCGTACATATATCCCCTGTGAATCGAATCGAGTGTCCTAGCCCGGTTGGAATGTGCTTGTATGTACTCCGTACATGTACTGTACATGTAGGTTATTTATTCTGCGTAGAAGCTCTTGATGCATATAGTGTGGAATAAATACACAGAAGAAAAGAAGGGTTAGTATTCCGTAGGCTAATTTCTATATCATAGGTTTATGTATATAGGATTAGAAGAAATAACAGTGACAATAAGTACGTGTAATTACGAAAATATAAAGGGTTCAGAAGCAAGCCAGCTTATGAACCGTTCATGGGTTAATAATAATATTCGGGTGAAGAGGGTTTTCGGGATCAATCAACTCTCCGGATTTTCTATCTTTGTAGCCAAATAATAAAGGAAGAAAGAGGGAGAACTTTCTCTGTTATCACCCATAATTCCTTTCTCCCTAGCTTATGCTCTTTCCACAGCATAGAATTTTACCAGGGTGGAGGTAAATAAAGGGAGGTGGGGGAGGATATTTCCATGTTTTGCTGGAGAGATATCAAGCAGAAAAAAAAAAAAAAAAAAAAAAAACCCAAAAGAAGGGTTGTATAATAATTGATAACTACAGTGAAGAGAAGAGGAAAACAGATATATATACGGCGCAAGTGCCCGTAGCTCCCGTCCGTTCTTTATAAATTCTTTTTTTTCTTCTCCATTTTCTCTCCGTCTCCTTCTTTCTCTTCTGCTCTTATATCCTTCATTTCCCTTCTCTTCTCCGTTGTTATATATATATATATATATAATATAATCCCCTCAGTCCCCCCTCATTATAATATTCATTTCCGACCCGACCCGCCGTCCTTCTACACATCGATCGTCTCTGCTTTTTCCAATTTTTTGCTCCTTTTGGAAACCAGAATCCCGGGATTATGCGGGCTAGCTCGACGGACCAGGAATCTCCTTATTGTTTAATTTATTTACACCCCCCCCCCCAAAAAAAAAAAAAAAGGCAAAAAGAAAAGAAGGGATCTTTCCCTTTCCTTTACCCATGCCGCTCTGGATGGACAGAAGCGCGCTCTGAAGGGATACGAATTCTGAAAGCGAGAATCCACCTATTATTCATCCCTGACCGTACAAGTAATGACGGGGTAACAAATAATTAACTATTGGAAGAAAGAAAGCACTCCATGGATTATGGCCTGCCAAGAGGGGATCGAGAGCGGCGCTACCGCTGCAACGCAACGCAACCAACGACATCGGTGGGCCGTTGGCAAGAAAGTTGAACTGGGAATTTCTCGGAAGGTTGGTGGTATATATAAACCGGATCTACTACTACTACTACTACTACTACTACCACCACCTGCCTATGTATGTATGTATAGTACATGTTTCCTTCCTCTCCCATATGAATCCATTCCATGCTTAGCTCAATAATAACCTCCTAATATATATATCCCTTCCCTTATCCACAGCCTACAGGCCCCCGGTGGTGGCCAGGAGGAGCCAACGGGGTTCCGTTCCTGGGCGAGCGCTTAGATGGCGCTGATTCGCCGCCGGGCCAGCCACTAAGTGGCTAGCCTCGGTTTGGTTCGCTGCTGAGGATTTGGAGCCTGGGCATTTGCCCTTTTTTCCCTCTTTTGTGTCTTCTGTCTGACCTAAACCTCTGACCTTTGACCTGAGACGTTCTTCTGTCTTCTGTCTTCTGCGTTTCCTCTGGCCCTGACCTGCGCTTTGGGAGTAATAATAAGTAAGAAAATAATAAGAATAATAATACTTCTCCTCCTTTCGCTGCCGCCCTTATCTTTTTTTTTTTTTTTTATTATCTCCCCCCTACTTTGTTTTCCCCCTTTCCCCCTCCCGCCAACCCAACCCCCGGCTGGGCGACTCTGACAAGCTTCTGGCCTGTCCCGATTTCCCGGCTTGCAAGTCACCAGTCTTTCTTTTCCCCTCTCTCTCACCACACAAACGCACATACCATACCACGCATATACGCTGCGTACCCACATACCCTCATACATTCACACGCGCGCAATCAACTCGCTCGTACCGTGCCTGGCCCTGTCCTGGCTCCGATCTCCGATCAAAACCCTTACGCCCGCTTTACCTGTCCATTTATTCGACCTTGTTTCTATTTTAGTAGTATTCTTATTTTACGGTTACTGGTAGCTACTGCGAAGAGACCTCCCCGATAATCCAATCAACAATGGTTGAATAAATAATAATTTTATTATTATTTTTGCCGTCATAACCATCCATAATAATTCCAGACCAACCGTCTTCCCTCTCTCCGGCTCTCTGACGCTCGCTCTCCACACACGGCAAAACATTATCTCTGGTAGCAAGCATCGAACAAGCTTTGTTGCTCCGGTCAAATAATATTAATAGGTATGATGACGCCCCATCGTGATGGCTTTTCCTCTATCTTTCCCTTTCTCTCTCTCTCTCTCTCTCTCCTTCTCTCTTTTATATTATTCCCTATCTTGTCCTACTCGCGACTCCTTTGCCACTACTATACAAGTCCTATCCCCCCCCCCCCCCTCTTCACCTGGCCTTGTCTATTTCGTTAGGCCTCACACATAGCAGTCCCCGATCGCTGTCCAAGTTCCTAGTTCCGAGTCTAGTCCTGTTTCCCCTACTATTCAATATTCCCCAGTATAATTTACTCCATAATTTATAATTTCTGTCGTCATTTATTTCTTGCTTGCCCACTTTACCCGGCCCATTCTTCAGCCCTATCCGCAATGATCAGCACCCTGCCACCCACGTTATGCATGCATCCTGTTTGTCATGTTCGCTCGCCGTGCTGTGCTGCCCCTTGCCCTCCTTTCTTCCCCCCCACCCCCAAAAAAAAAAAACCCCCCTCCACACCCATGCTTGCCCTCATTCCTCCTTTTCCTTCCCGTTGCTCTAATTTGCTCACTCCTTACGACCTGCTTAAATGGATCCCCCAGCCAGGTCACATGTCATCACCCTGATTAATCAGCACGTCCGAATTGGGTTCTGCCGACTCCCCACGTGATCGCCGCTTGTGCCGTTCACCGCCTTCTATTTTAGGCAACCCGACGTCCCTTCGTCTCCCTTTTGTCCCAGCGAACAAAAAACAGTTGGCTGAGGCTGTTGAACCCGCGACGGCCTGCCTGACACTGAACCCGATCTGAACCCGCGAGCCTGAGAAAAAAGAAAAAGAGCTCTGTTGCCCTGCACCGACAGAAAGAACGTGCTAGGCCAATCCTTGGGATAAATTATATACGCTGCAGGAAATAATTATTAAGGGCAAAAAAGACGCCGCCCGACGTTCTCCACTCGCACACGCTGACCGCAACCCTCTTTCTCTCTCCGTTGCTTTGCCGCAGCCCGGTAGAACCGATATCGTGTCAGGTACGTCTTGTGCTTTTGATATGTGATTATATTTTTTAGTTACTTTTGATGATTATTATTATTTTATGCTTTGCCCTTGCTTGATGATCCACATCCCACATCCCATCATCCCAATATCCGCCCCAGGACACGCCAACACATAATATTCTCCGACATTTCTTCGCTGTAGCCGCGCTGTCTCGTGGTTTCGCGGCTCATTTCATTCACAAATGCCCTTGATCCTTTCATGTCGTGGCCGTTACCTGTCCTGTATAGGATATAATGTCCCCTCTTTTTTTCCCTCTTTCTCTCCCGATGCCATCTCCTGAACGCGTCTAGTTGCCATGGCCTTTTATATATATATATATATTATTGTTATTATTTTCCTTTTCATGTCATCGCTAGCCCTGGCTACCCAATCCAGGCCGCTTTCTACCCAGAATGCAGCCTTCTGTTTCGTTGCCTTGCGATTATTGTATGCGCCCGAATTGCTGCTGAGCTCTACTGACATTTCGTGGTTGTTTAAGACGGATGGGTTGCTAGAATTTACACGCCATGAATGCCTGGCTCTCCGACGTCGCGACTGCGAACATCCCTACCCACGATAATGGCGCCTTCACCAATAATCCTACCATCGACCCGACGATGGCTTTCCTTCATCAATCCCCTACCTCTGCCGATCCTGCCCAGTTCCAACGTATGTTCAATAATGGCGGCCCCCAGGCTATGTCACCCGGCTTCCACAACCCAAACTCGGTGATCCCTTCGAAAAGACCGCGCCCCGATGATGGGATGTCCATGTCTCCTAGGCCTGCACCAGGTGGCTTGCCAAATTCTCGTTCGCATACTCCTCAAGTGCCATATCCCGGTTACCAGGGTCCACAGATCAATGGCGGCGCATCGCAATTTCCTCAACCCCAACATGCGCCAACACCTTATCAACATCTTCAACAAGGAGGCTCTGCCAATGCCAGCCCCTCCCCCATCCCTGCGGACTTCGATCAGCAAGCCGTGCCACGGGTGCAAACTGCGTCTCCTAGCCCGTTTTCGCCCGCCGGAATGCATGTCGGTCCGCAAATCTCTCCTTCCCACTCAGATCATGGCAGCCGCGTCAATACTCCACAGAGTAGCACGTTCCCGCAGGGTCAGCCTTACGGCCAGGCTGTAGGGTCACACTTCTCGCCATCACCGGCAATGACGTCTGCTGGCATTCATCCGGCAATGCAGGCACAATTCAACCAAAACAATGCTGCCCATCTCCCGCAAGGATTTCCTCAACAACAAATGTCTTCACAACAACGCCTTTACCAAATGCAGCTCCAGAACCAAGCGCGCCAGATGCAGGCGGCCGCCTCTCCTTCAGTAGGACGCCCAATTGGCCCTGGGGGACCGGGACAGAACCCTATGCAACATCCCCACATGGCGACCATGCGACAAATTCAGCAAAATATGGCAAAACCGACGAATCCAGAAGGGTTTTTACATGTACTCCAACGGTTTTGGATATCGCGCGGCCACCCTCAAGTCAACCTATCCCCTGTTGTCAGTGGACGGCCGCTCAATCTGATGCAGCTTTATGCGACGGTCATGAAGATGGGTGGCTCTAAAAAGATTACTGCGACGAACTCGTGGCCTATTGTTGCTCAACAATTACAGTTCCCCGCCATGCAGTATCCAACAGCAGTGCAGGAAATCCGGGAACATTACATGAGGATTCTGGCTCAATATGAGCAGGCGTGGTTAAGTTCTCAACAGAAGCAATTCACAGATCAAATGCATGGTAGTCCACAGCGAGATCCAGTCGAGGGGCCTGTCGGCATTAATCCTCAAACTTCGCCAGTGAAGCCTATGGGTAACCATTCTTTCGACATGTCCGTGTCCCAACAATTCTCCCCCAGTTCCGCCCCGAACCAGCAAATACAAAACCACGCACCTCCAATACCAGTTAATGGTTTCGCGACACCCTCACAATCTAAGCCCCAGCAGAAGCATATTAATCACCAACAACGGCCGAGTCTGTCTCGAGCACCAGAGTCAATGTCACCTAACGGACGGGTTGCCCAGTTTTCGGCATCCCCTATTCAAGCGGAGAAAAAGCCGATTCCCGTCGCAACAAAAACACAACCGGGCGTCGGTGTTGGCGAGGAGTCGGCGAGTACCTCCTGGCGACAACCGATACAAGACCCGTTCAAACCTGCTGTATTTCCTGAAAGCCAATACCATGGGCCTATTATTGTGGATGAAATGTTCCAACTGGGCGAAGAAATTATACGGTTGAAACCTAACGTACCTAGCTTCTTGGAACTTGGGGTAATCGACATTCATGCTCTGACTATGAGCATTAAGTCGGGCATTCACGCGGAGATGCGAATGGCGTTGGACACCTTAACGGAGATATCCAATGAACGAACGATACAGGTTTCACTCGATAATTGCGAGGATCTGGTTGAAGCATTGATCGAATGTGCGGAGGAACAAGCTGAACTTCTTGCGGAGAATGCAGCTGAAGTTTCTGATGTTATGCTGCTACCGTCGTATGAAGAGGTTCTTCGAGGCTGCCGGCAAGAGATGGAAGCCCTACTCGATGTACCAGAGTTTGGCAGTCTAGATTACGAGCTCGATCGCGCCGTGGATCGGTTAATATGTATCACCACTATTATACGAAACTTTTCCTTTGCTGAATCGAACCTGGCTTCACTGGGTATGCCATTTGTTGTCAGATTTATGTCGACTATAATACGGTATTTAGGCACAAGAAACATGCTGTTACGAACTCATCAAAATACCCTCGATTTCATGAAAGACGCCGTCATTTATCTCAGCAATCTGTCTCATTCTATTCAACTTCCTGGAAAGGATGAAGCACTCTGTTTATTGCATTTCCTCTTATCTTTTGCCCCGACTCCTGTTCCAACCTCCTTCGGACCTAACACTATCATGTTCACACCGTACAACCCAAGCATACACAGATACATGCCTGCTGCCGTTGACAGCTTGGCCAAGCTACTTGCACGAGACGACCCCAATCGCACCTACTACAAAGCCATCTTTGCCCAAGACTTCACCTCAACACCTCCTTACGAACTCCTAACCCGAACCTTTGGCCTCTCCATCGCCGCAATCCCAGAACACATGCGGGGAAACATTGTCGCCCTAGTTGACGCCCGCAAACCACTACTGATGCAGGGCATGCTTGCCGCCGAGCTCCTATCCGGCTTCGCAGACAACAACCTCGCGCGCTCCTGGCTAGTATCCTTAGACGGGTTCGCTATCAGTCTTCTTCGCCTCGCCTGCCTCCTGAGCACAGATCGCACATCAGCGGCCGCGTCGTCAGCAGCAGTGTCAGCGCAGCACCGGCACGGCAGCCACCAGGCCGCACGGGCCGCTGAGGCGGAATTCCATGGCTATGGATCCATCACGTCGCGGGCGCTGGCGGTGCTTGTGCGCCTTGCGCGGAAGTCAAGGATGGCAGATTCTGCCGGTAGTGGCAGTGGCAGTGGCAGCGGCAGCGGCAGTAGCAATAACAATGATAATACTGGGGGAGGAAGTGGACATGGACATGGACATGCGCATGGGAGTAAAGGGGGAGAAGTTCCGCTGGGGGTGCTGCCGAAGAAGGAGAATTTGCTAGGCGCGCTTTTGACGCCGAATATTGACCCGAATGTTGTGAGGCAGCTTTGTGAATATGCAGGGTTGGGGGATTGAAATATTCTTCTTTTCCTTTGTTTTATAATGTGTTTGTATCTTGTGTGCGTAAAGGCAGGCAGGCTAAATCTCAATTTTTTGTTTTAACATAAATGGGGGGCCGGGGGGGGGGGGGGTTAAGTTGTTTTATTTGTTCATTTCTAGGAAATGCTTTTTTTTAGTTCCTTTTTCTTGTTATATTTTATTGTCTTCTTGTATTCTTTTTAGCCGGTTTGGGCTGGGTTGGTGTGGGGCGTAGTTTTATTTTATTTTATTTTATTTTTATTTTTATTTATTTTTATTTTAGCTATTTGATAGTTTTGTGAGATGGAATGGTAAATGAAATGAGTTGAGTTGTTCGAAAGGGATTTTTCTTCTTTGCTTTTGTCGGATTGCCTCCCTTGCGGGCCGACCGCTTCCGCCCACACACTCCGCCGATCCACGTGATCGGCGATCGCAAGCTCCTATAAAAATGTAGGCTACTGGGGCAAAAGAGCTCAGTCACCACCAGCGCTGCTGGTAGAAGGGCCGATCAACCCCCGGGACCCCCAACAACACGGGACCCCCAACAAAAAAGGCCACATAGCAGCTAGCTTCTCATAATAACAACCAACTACTCCAAGAACTCCTCCATCAGCTTTGCATTAATCCTTTTTTTTTTTTTTTTTTTTTTTTTTTTTTTTTTTCAAATCTATCATAATATTATTAGGTAAGGTTATATACATACCTAATACCTATAGACTTCTCTGATCCATTTCGTAAATTGTAGCAATACTGTACACGATGAGAGAGAAGAGGGTGGGTGTGGCTGTGGCTGTGGCTGTGGCTTTGTGGTGTTCATCCATGAATAATAAATAATATGCAAAGAAAGACGGCCACAGCAGAGGACTAGAGGACTAAGAAAAAAGTGAAGGAAAAACCAATGTTTTAACCGGGAACCGAAACTGAGAGAGGAAAAAAAAGGAAAACGTTTTTAAACAATTGGTGGGAATATGTTTTTTTCCGCCCCTTCTCCCCTTTTTTTCGGGTTGAGGATTTATTGCGCTTAAACACCTGCGCTGCGGAAGGGATGGGTTAAGATGGAATGCAATATTAAATAGAACAGGACATGCGAATGAGGAAGTGAGAACTGTGTCGACTGGACAAAGGAATCCGGGCTTGTTTGGTCTCTCATTTTTGTTTTTCCCTCTTTTTCCCCACTAGAATTTTCGGTCCAATAGGAATTGTTGTATTTCCGGTTTCCGCCAGCCCTAAATTATTTCCGTGATTGTCAGCAAAAACAATTGCATTTGAATTTCGTGGAGGTTAGGTAAAATGTTGTTCTTCTTTTTGTTTATTTTTATAACTGGGTAGGGTTTCTGTTTAATCCGCAAACCGAAGATCCTGGGGAAGTAGTAAAAGGGAGAATAAACACAAATACACACCTTAACAACGACATGCCCGTTTAATCGATTGATATAAATGTCCTTAGAATTCGGTTCTATCCCTAGAGTTTTCGCCAGATCTGAACATAGCGCATCAACATCTCCCTCGGTTTTCTGGATCTTGGTCTCCTGCTTGGTGCCTCCAGCTTTGGTCACGAGGTAGACGGGTAATTGGTTTGAAGGGGTACGGCGGATGAAGTAGGGGAGGTTCGTGAGCGGGAGAGGAGGATGTACCGGAGCAGGCTGGGTGGAGGTGGCGGATTTGGTGGCTTTTGTGGACTTGGATTGCGAGAACGGTCGAGGGATTCGGGTTGTGATATGACGGGTTTGTGTGGCGAGGGATGAAAACGACCGCTTTGGTGGTTCTAGGTGCAGTTAGATATTTATTCTTTAAATATAATGCACTCGTCGTCCGAGTGGTTTGTCAATCCATCGTGGGTGCTATGGATGGCACTGCTGGTGTAGAAGGAAAGGGCAATATTTACGAGATCTGAATGTTCGCGTCCGCGACAGGGATTGTGATAGCGACGAAAGTGACCGCTTGTTAGAGAGGCATGACGAGTTTGATCTAAGACATAACGAGAGCATTGAGGATTTTTGGCGAAGCACCGGTGAGATGGATGATGAAGGGAGGAGGGCGGCCATATTGAAAGCTCATCAGAATGAATAGACAAAGAAAGGGCTGTTGAGTTCAAAGGCGGGAATTTACGAATTAGAGATTAGGCAAGGAGGATTAGACTTGAGGAACACAGATGTCAGTACAGCTTGCTGGCCCTTCAGTAGTTGGTAGGAATCCTTTTCCTATTCTTCCCCACGACGCTGGACGTTCTGTGCAGCCGGTTTATTTGTGGTCGTGAATCCGGTCTTTGATATCAGATTTTTTGCCAATCGAAGCTTGGCTGGGCCTTCAAAACTCGCTAGCATGTTCCTGGTCTAGCGTAGACTTCGTGCGGCTCCCACTAACATTTTCGACATCGCCAACTTCAAAGTTCCATTTCGAACAAGTTCGCTAGCAGCCCGCAATCGTATCAGCCCGCAATCGTATCAGCTAGAGACTTGTATCCCATCTCACCACGCCTGCCGCTACTTTCTGTGCGCTGTCCTTTTCGCCATGGCAGACAACGTACCTCCGTCTGCTGACACCCTGCTAAAGGGTGCGGCTTCGCGCTCCGCAAAGTCCCCCGAAGAGATCGCCAAAGAATATGACCTTCTGCCAAAACTCATGCCCTACCTTGACCGCCATCTCGTTTTCCCCTTGCTCGAGTTTGCGTCTGGCCAGGAAGAAGAAGATGAACAAGTTGACGAGATTACCAAAGCGAAATATGAACTTCTGAAGCATACAAACATGACAGACTATGTCGCAAACCTTTGGCAGGAAATCAACAACTCCGATTCCATGCCTGAGGAATTCGTCAAAAAGCGGGAAGAAGTCGTGCAGAAACTCCAGCAGTATGTCGAGGACAGCAATAAGATCACAGAGCTTTTGCAGGATGACAACGTGGTCAGCAACCTGCGAAACGACAAGGCCGCGAACTTGAAGTTCCTTGAAGAACAACATGGTGTGACGCTGGATATGGTTAATATCCTTTACGACTATGGCCGATTCCAATACAGCTGCGGCAGCTATGCAAACGCTGCTGAACTACTCTACCAGTTCCGTGTCCTGTCCACTGATAACGACAAAGTTGCCTCTGCTACGTGGGGAAAGCTTGCCTCGGAAATCCTGACCACCAACTGGGAGGCTGCGATGGAGGAGGTTCAAAAAGTAAAGGAATCTATCGACACCCGCCTGTTTAACAACCCGCTCGCTCAGCTCCAGCACCGCACCTGGTTGATCCACTGGTCCCTCTTCCCCTTCTTTAACCATGACCCTGCCCGTGACACTCTTACCGACCTCTTCTTCTCCCCCGCCTACATCAACACCATCCAGACCGCTTGCCCGTGGGTTCTTCGATATCTTGCTTCTGCAGTTATCACCAACCGCGGTCGTGCACACAAGAATACCTCACTGTATCAAAAGCAGTTGAAGGACCTCATTCGCGTTGTACGACAGGAACAATATGAATACCAAGACCCTATCACGGACTTCATTAAGGCGTTGTATATCGATTTTGATTTTGAGGAGGCTCAGAAGAAGCTGGGAGAGGCTGAGGAGGTTTTGAGGAATGATTTCTTCCTTGTTGCCGCCGCAGATTCATTTGTGGATGCGGCAAGACATTTGATTTCGGAGAGCTACTGCAAAATCCACCAACGGATTGATATCAAGTATGTTGTTTCCTTTTACCTCAGAAATATTGCACGTCAAACTAACAGCGAATGTGTAGGGACCTATCTACTAGACTTGGCCTGAACCAAGACGAAGGTGAGAAATGGATTGTCAACCTAATTCGTGACACGCGTGTCGATGCGAAGATCGACTACAAAGAAGGGACCGTTCTTATGAACCACCCACCACAATCAGTGTATCAACAAGTCATTGAGAGGACCAAGGGCGGATTTTTCAGAACACAAGTATTGAGGTAGGGTTTTGTTTTAGCCCCCTTCCTCTTCATTCTGTATCAGTATAAACTTACTAATCTAACCGTCGAAACAGTGCCGCTGTCGCCAAATAAGTATAAAAACGAGAACAAAGAAAAGAGTAAAATATAGAAATTAGGAGTTGAATTTAAAGAATGAGAAACGGATAGGAAATGGGATTTAATGATATACCACACGACCTACTCTTATCCTTCTTTATTTTAATCCCCCCGCTTCTATTCTTCTCTTTTGCGCTAGAAAAAAAACTCTCTTGCACGCGACAAACTTTCCTGATTTTGTTTTATTCCGCGAGACCTCTTTTTTCGATCTACCCCCATGAGGAATGGCTGTTTGGCATCTGGCTGGCGTTTCGTTTTCCCTTAAAAAATATTTGTCGTTATTTGACTCGGAAATTTTACATACTACCTGTTTCTTCCTGTTCCTTTGTTCCTTCTCCCATATAATATATGGTTTTCCTAGTAGTTGTAGATATCAGAGGGGCATGGGTGGTAGGAAGGATTAGTTGTTGATTGAACCTACCGAGCTTGCTTTGGGCTATGGCTATTCGTCATTCTTCGAAGAAAAACGTAGAGCATGTTTATGATCATTTGTATGTACATGTACAATGAGGACAACCTACCTATGTGCTCCCAAGAAATGTGAACCAAGCTGGCATTGACTTGGCTTCTGAAGGTGATTCCGCATGCGATTAGGGTCGTTAAATATGGGCATATGCATTATAGCGGCAGCAGTCGTACCTGACCCGGGAAGGGTTTCCCGGGTTTTGAGAAGCCTGAGTGGCCAACCGGCGATTTTGGTCTCTTCCTAGACGGGGGAGGGGCTTCGCGATGAAGCTCTTTGGGTGTTTTACGTAATTGGAAAGTCAACGCTCCCTGTCCCCGAGAGATATGAACGAAACGGAGGGGGAGATTAAGACACTGGAAAGGAGTCTGTAGAATGTACAGTACAGCTCGGGGCGATCCCGGAGGAATCTCCCCATTTTCCAAACAGCTGGAGTTCCCTTAAAACGCAGAAGCGGGACTGTGGAACCTTTAGTAGATAATACAGGGGATTTGGGGCCAGACAGAGTGACGTGACGTTGTATAAGTATCAGCTGCCTCATTTCTATACGGATTTTTTGATAAGGAAATGCTGGCATGTCTTTTTTATTCGCCAATGTCGAGGAAGATAAATAGAGGGTTTCGGTTCAGCTATTGTCCGCTGGCTTCTCGCAAGGGCATTAATAGAACATTTCCGGATATAACCCACGCCGGGCTTAGCAATATTCCACCGCAGTTGTTTTCCTATAGAGCTATGTCCCGCCGAAAGGAGGGGCCCTTTGATTCCAAAAACGCGAGCCAAAAGGTACTGGGTTCGGGGGCTAGCGGCATTTCACTGGATTCAGCCATGTCAGAAGGCATCATGGCCAATCTACAGTTCGCATCCGTGTTGATAGAGACGGCGTGGGGCATGGATTATCTTGATAAAAAGGGCGTCGGGGTGTCACGGTTGGATGAATGATTCCGCTTGAGAGGATAAACTATAGCAGGAATTTTTGCTGCCTGGTAAACCTTGGAGGATATGACAATAACAAACTGGGTGTCCACTTCTCCCAGATTATCGGCTCAACGTCCAAGATTTCGTAGCAGACCTGGGGTAGTTGTGGCCCGGTCCAGGAGAGGGATAGAACTTCGCAGCATGTAGTGGACAGAAGGTATTTTAAGGTTTGGTTGTAGTATCGCAAGGAGTTGATGTCCTTGTCCATTTTCTAGATGGGTGTAATCGTTCACGAGAAATGTGATTCGTCCTAGGGATTGCGATTGGTGGGCAGGTTTAAAAACCATTACCCAGTGGAGGTCGATGTAAGGGCGCACATCCGGTTTTGTTGAGCATTGGTGGGAATCAGCCTCACTGGCACAAAATGGAGGTGGTTACAAGGCTTTGGCAGGAGGTGTTTAGTCTGGATGGAATACTCCAGGGGACGCAGTGGATGTTGTGCTGGTACAGTTGAACCCAGACAATAAATCAACGGCGCTCATTCATCCTGTGGGAAAGTAACTGGAACGAGTCGTGTTCTATGTTGGGTAGTTGGGGGGGTTGTTGAAACACTTTGGATGATTATTCAAAGCCAAAACGAACAGGGTTATTTGTTTCTATTATAGTAGAGGGAGGAAGGTAAATGGAGCTGAACGACGGCCAGGTCCAAGGAATATAGGAGACCCTAGGAATCAGCATATCACACCGGAACGGGAACATCTTGAGGATTTGGTTGACTACTTCTTCTGAAGCTGCATTAAAGATGGTAACTGTCTTGTACGGCTTTAGTTTCGTTTGCTGTACAGTATGAGATCGTAAGCTAACGGGAGGCTCTCGCCACCATCGCAAGTTAAACATCCCAAAATAATCAGCCAGTATCCTGAAATGGTCCATTGTCCAGTGGGTTGAGAAGTCCAGGGATTCTTCGTAGCCACCTACGGGGTTGGGGGATGATCCAAGTGCTGTATGTTCTGTTGTCCACTGCATCCCCATTTCTGTCAAAGAAAGGCGATGTATTCCGGAGCCCCTGCTGGCGCTTTCCGCGAATTGGATTAACAATGCGAAGTAATCTTGTAGTCGATATTAAGGTGGAGGATTCGAAAACGCTCATGCACAGAATTCTTTTAGCACGAAAAGTCGATTTGGATAGAAAATAGTCAAACAAGTCGATTACAGATATTTTCGCTATCCAATATTTCATTCGATACTCCGTAACTCCTCCAACTCCGAAGAAACCAATGATATCCCTCCTAATTCCATCCTTGAGAAAATAACCGCGACATCTTCGACTCCAAACACCCCAGGCCCCAAGGGGAATGCGTCGGGAGTACGATCACCTCATTGTGGGCTGGAAGGTTGGTTGGAACTTCGGGGAAGTGCTCCCTGAAGTCCAAACGCCTTTGGCGGTTTTTGAACGTGCATGATCGGATGATACGATTTGTAAATATTGACTTCAAATATTAACTTCACCACGATTGCGTCTGCCGGCTACGGTGGCCTGATGGAACGTATCTATCTCTGTTTCTCTCGCTTTCTCGTTCACGGTCGTCTATTCGATCGGCAGGTCGTTCTCGTTCCCCAACGTTTATCAACTCATTGATATACTGTGCTGATTTCCCGTTGAAAGTTTTGTGAGACATTCTCATGGCGGCGCTTTTCTCATATTCCAATGACATGGTCGCTAGATCCTCGATTTGTTGCTATGAAGAGCGTTAGATAATAGCCTTGATAAGGGGGGGGAGCGCCTGCTGTGTCCTGCGGGTAGAACATACTCGAGTAAGGGGCGTCCCAGTTATAAGATAGCCTTCGCGTCCCTGTAATATTGGTTAGATGTGATAGCAACTGCAACACGCAATGAGGTGTACATACCTGAAGGCTATATGGTCTGGCGGATGAACTAGGTCCCAAGAAAAATTGGATCTGGCTTAGGACGACGTGCCGTGATAGCCCATAGCCGGGGAGCCAATATTGCTGAGACTGAGACATTTTGTAGAAGGAAGAGATAGGAGGTATCAATGAACCTTGAGTTGATCTGATCAATATAGTTTAATCAGGAGGCATAGATAGCAATAAAGCTTGAAGGTTTAACAGGCTAGTATGCAAGCTATTATGTGGAGATTGATTCAAATGGGAAAAATAAATTCATCATATCGACGGCATGAGCGGCCTATTTATTTCTGAGAAGCAACAAGGACTGACCTAGAATCTGAAAGTCTGTGGATATTGGTATTTATTCTCTCGCGACCACTCGACCACTCTGGATGACCTCATCCAAGCTTTCAGCAGGGCTGATGGCACTAGCTTGAAGTTGCTTAGCGGTGCTTTCCCTGTTTTGGAGTTCTAGGGCCGTTTCTAGCTGGAGGATTCAAACAAGATCGCCTCGTTTACGCCGCCTCACTTTGAATAGTTCGATTGTGTCCATCCAGATCGTGCCCACTTGGCCCACACGAAACACGAGAGCTTGTATGCGCTTCGTTTCTTCGTTTCTCCGAGTGCAGGAGCGAAAGTATCGTGTTCTTCCGCGATTTGGTCATTATTGCATCGGTCTCAAATTACCCTTTCATCCTAGAGTTGACTGTTGCAGATATTCTTGTAGGACCACTAGGGGTACTTCCGAACTTTCCACAGATTGATTGGAGACGGCTGCATATCGCACTTTCTCAGCTAATAAACAAGAGGTTTCCCAATGATCGGCCGAGGTCACAGAACATTCGAGAGAGCTGCTCCCCGTTGCTGCCTGACCTTGGGCAGACAGTCGATGGGGTCACAGCAGCCTGGACTTACTCGTGCGAATGGCATGCAGAGGAGCTTTGACCATGCCCTGTTAACACACGGGCTATAGTATTTTGGGGTAGAGCTCGACTAAACAACATATGCCTGCTACTCAAACAATGCATGTAACTCGAGCTTGGGCTCCGGTTGCTTCCATTCGCGTCATGTCGTACATAACCGACGAAACTCGCCGCTTTTGACTTGTCTTTGCATTGTTCACAATCTTGTTCTCCTCTCTCCGCTTCTGATAGGCGTGGAGGGCTTTCTCTCTCCTAACGGCCTGTTCAAACGTACATTTTTTGCCACGATCTCTGGCAGTACTTCTTTGTGCAAGGTCCATGTGACAGACACGGCGCGTTATCGCATTTAGCACTCAAATAGTGACTGAAGGTCGATATTTGCCATCAAGCCTGCTGGTAATGTTTCTCGTTTCTGTTTGGATCGCACAAAAAGGATGACAGGCGGGGATTATCGCCCTAAAAAAGATCATTCCAGCCCGCGACGTCATTGGCCAATCACGTGGCACGCATGCCCTAAGTCAGACATCTTCCTCTCCCCTCCTTGTGCCTCTGCAATACAGAGATGATCGATGCTCGCTCTCTTGAACCTTTCGTGGCTATCCTACTGGTCAATGATTACATCCAATGATTACATCCAATGAGACTACATATGACGTCCGTTTAAGACAACCTCAGTTTTCCCCTCTGTTTTCTTTGAAGATGAATCCTTTGTCATTGTGGCCATGAGTCAAGTTACGGTAACTGGCCACGCTGAAGGGCATCAAAGCACTAAGCGAAGGGCTATTGTTGACGTACCCCTATCAAATAGCAAAAGCTGTTGTTGTAGGGGGCGCTCCCCCTTCTCGAGTAGAAGATCGATGGTACGCCTTGTTCACCCTAGAAACAGATATCAAAAGCCTTATTTCAACCGTGGTTAGGTCGTTGAGATGCGAATGTTTATTTCGTGGAAGCAAGGATCAATGGCATTCTTCAAGTTCCGATTAATGAGATTACATCATCTATTATATGGTTCAAACCGGGAATTTGGAACAAACATAAAAAAATCTTCATCTCAAATGGATGAAAATTGAATTGTGGTCCGCTCCCGCCAAAGTCCTACTTAAATGCTGGGACCCGCGCCTACAGGGCGGGTTGACCCGACACCTAAGATATTGGAACTGGGCAACTTGAGATATATTCGGGCGGGTTTGTTCGGCCATTTTTGCGGTGCTATATGCTTTTTGGAATATCACCAATTCGACTCAACCTGCGCCCCAAAAGTTATAACCCGAGATTCCTCGTAAAATGGAAAGGGCTACCAGTCACGGTTTATAGTATCGTTGATACTTCCAATGGATGGCCCACAAAGTCCCCAATTTGCAATATCGACTATAGAGCTACGACGTGGGGCTGAATTGTTCTCCAAGGGTGATCTTCAAAATCGTGTTCGACATCAGCGCGACCCTGTTCCACGGCGCTGTATCGAGAAAGCTCTGTTAACATGATTTCAAAATTTTTGATAAAGGGCTCGCTACAGCAGCCTTAGAAACGTGACAGTGCTTATCATTAATATCCGATGGAAGGAACTAAAAACATAGCTATCATTATTGCTGAATCGGAGCTCGTTGCATCTGCCTCTCCTGATATGTTGAAAGCATTTATAATTGGTTCGTACAACATGCCTTAGTACCTGCCCCTGAGGATCGCAGTATGCAAATCACCAGGTATAAACAAAATATGCTAAGCAGCAGAGGGGCCTATTAGAACAAATAATAATCCATTATTGTGAGGAAGCACCGGCATTACGGCGCAAAGTGAATATCCTGGTGGTCAACTTTGCAATCCTCAGGACAACGCAAGATCGATTTTTAATAAACTAATAAAAGCGGCGCGCCTTGTAGTCTAAATTGTAATAGTCAGCTCCTCAGTATTCCGCACTATTTAACGAATTCGGGGTCGCTGGTTTTTCCTCACCGCTGACCGTTGGTACCTGAGCTATTTGAAGTGAGGCGACACGAATTGAAAGGAAAAGAGCGAAAACAATGCCGATGTTTAAGCAATGCACGGATTGCCATAGGTGGCCAATCCCCATTCGAGAAGTAGAAGGGGGCCTGCATCTAGATTCCAGCGACATACAAGCTACCAGTCACAGTTCGCAAAATTTATGGAAGAAGATTTACGGTTGATCAATTGGATTGATTTTTAAGAAATAAATGGAAGACGAGACGAGACCAATTGATAGACGCAGCCTAGATTTTCGCTGATTATCTTTCGCAACTGTGCGTGGAGTCCAGAATGTGGATAGCAGTGGTTACCTCATATTTCTAGCAGCCAACCCACAAAAGCACCGACTATATGCATCTGAATGGGGAAAGGATTCAAATTGTCATATTGCTTATATAATTTGAGACTATCACAGTCTCTTGGAGATCCTGTTTTGAGGCAGAACTGCCTTTATAAATGCAAGCTTGATATGTGCTGCAAACTAATTGAGACAAAAGCGGGCGCGAGATATCTTGAATGCTGAGCAAAACCAGGGGACATTCACAAGAGACCATTTTTAAGCGAAATCACGATAATAGTATCCCTAGAGATCTTGAGAATGGGATATTGCTCCAGTGGTTGATTAGTTATCTGCTGGTTTCCCCTCATACCCCCCCAGGCTGAGTAAAGGATTACTTGAGAGATAGGTTAGGAGCGCGAAGGAGAGAGGAAATGTGGCCATTTAGCTCATGGCTCGGGAAAGAAACCTAACCATCTTGCATCGAGTCTATGCTGCCAAGGTTGCTAGCACACACATACGCACACACACAGATGAGGGCATTTTCTTTCGTTTTTGAAAATAAAAGACATTGGTAAAGTAGTCACCGGATGCAAAGGGATTTGTTTCCTAGTTCCCTTCAATGCCACACAGTTCCTATTGGGAGATTCGGGCGCACATTTCGTGAAAGCGGGGGAAATTTATAAGAAATTAGAAAGTGGGTGTAGACCCGAAATAGAAGAATTCAAGATACTCAATCAGTGAATGACCTCTTTATGCGTGCTTGTAAAATGCCACCCACATGGCATTTCAATTCCAAACTTGGATACATGCATAGCTACTACATACCTTTCTCCTTGGGAGCCCCTCTCTTCCTTTCTTCCGCGCCATGCACTCTTCTTCGGTAAGGGATGATTTATAAATGTCGCTTCCGGGTAGCCAACCCCACGCGTGTAACCCCAGAAAATTTCCATGCCCTTCTCCTAGATGCGGCATTATCAACAATAAGGATGTGTGAAATTCATGCAAAAGGAACATCATCCAGGGGTTGGCAAAGTTTGTAATATGCGCCCCGGTGCTCTGGGGACCCGGAAAGGAACCCCCCGGCCGAAAAAGTAGCTCTTGTCTCCAATGGCAAGGTACATGTTCATTGACACCGTGACTTGTTTGCATATCCATTGGACATGAAAGTCAGCCGACATAATTGAAGCACACGATATAACTAACCGGGCTCACCGGAGGGCCCCATGTGGAGGGCTTGCGGTTCCTTTCACAAGGCCGGCTTGAAACCTGAGGAATGTCTTCCGATAAAGGCAAGGGAAGTAAGGAACCCGCTCGCGGGGGATCGGAGCCACGATGGAATCTAACTCATATCGACATCAGAAACATTATGAAAGAATTAATTGAATATTCAAATCGCATGTGGCAAGACGCAGTTAACGTTGGTTTCAGGAAAACAAGGACAATGAGGTGAAACGCAAAACACGAAAGAAGGGGGGAAATGAAAAAGAAAAAGAAAGAAAGGAAACAAGAAAACCTCACCGTTGGGCGGGCGTTGGGGATGAAAACTGAAATCTTGGAACATCGCCTCACTTTCACGTTTCCATCACATACTAGGAGAGGCTTTTTTCCAGCGCGTAGCCAGCCCACGGAATATCCCGTCATATTTCGATTCCAGCAACAAAACCCGGAAAATATGATGTTCAGCGAGGCGCCCCAGGCCCCTAGTTCCTCAGTTGCCCACAGAACTAGAAGTTGCCGGAGAAGAGTTCGATAAGAAACTATTTTTGATCGCCCAGCTATGCCTCCGTGGCTCCAGGTGGCTCAACTGGTCCCTATTAGAAAGGGGAAGGGGCAGGGCGGAGAGACAGAACAAGTGAGGCACTCAATGGCAGTGGGAGAAGGATTTGGCAGGCTGGGTCCTTCTTTTTTTAACCCTTTTCATTCGTCGGAAGGTGCGGACGTCTGGTATCTCCCTCACCACTAAATCCTCGCGACGAATTGTTATTCTTTCTTACCTAGCGTATCATTCGATTAATCATGATGCCACGGAGCTGTAGTTCGAAGAGTAGCAGAGGGTAAAGATTCCTTTTGTTGCCCCCCCAGGGAACGAACCCCCACCCCAAACCCTCAATAAATTATATCTGTTAGCTCGCCCGGGCGGATCTGGGAGATTTTGTTGTGTGTGTGGGGGGGGGGGTTCTAAATAGTGGCATAGGTTAGTTTGGGTGAGTTGGAGCAATTGGCTGATAAGGAGAAGAGGCCGTTCTGGTCTCAGCAAAAAAATATAGGCTGCTTGTGGATGCATTTGGAATATAGCTGTTGGTTCGCTTATGGATCTTAATATCTTAATATTGTGATATATACCTCATAAGACGAAAGAAGCATGGGAACTAGAAAGTGCAGGCACAATTACAACGATAAGGAAGGAATGGGATTGAACATGTGTATGGACTGGAAGAAGGAAATAAAAGCTGTTCTCGTTAAATATTCTTTCTATTTTTCTCTTTTTTAATACATGAGACCTAAGCTCATTCTGGTCATTTGTTTCATAAATTTAATGAATCACTCTTGAGGTGGTATGTATGGGTTTATAAGCATATTGCTAAACCTAAAGAGTTTGAAAGGAAAGGATTTTCTTGTTAGCAGGACGTCCTTCATTTGTTTTCGATGTTCGTTCAATGTTCCCCTCTTAGAGCGTAGACACCACACATGCATACGAAATGACTTACTTCTCAAGTTTCTCCTTCCCCCTAACTTCCTCCACCAACATGGGCATCCGCACGACATTAAAGTCCTCATACAGCTCTTCAATCTCATTCAAATACTTCTTCTGCATTTTCCGTCTGGCCTTGCACTGCTCGCATGAGCTGTCCTTACCGGGGAAAAGCAGCTGGTTGACCACGATGCAGTGTGTATCGATTTGATAGCTTGTAAGCTCTTGAATCATCCGCTCGGTCTCATACAGGGACAAGAACTCCGCGATGCACACGCAGACGAAAGTCGTTAGGTCGGCATCTTTAAATTGCGCATTCACTTCTCCTATGGTCTCTCGTAGCGATTCCATCTTCGAGAGGATCTCGTCCAGGTTTTGGCCACCGGGGAGCCCGCCCCGTGCTCCAAGTACGGAGTTCAGCATTGGGCCGAATTGGGAAGATAGTTGAGATAGCTTGCCGAGGGCCTTTTCAAGGACAGTAGGGAATTGGAGGAAGCGGAGGGTATGACCTGTTGGTGCGGTGTCGAATATGATTACTTCGTATGAGAGAGATTTGACTTGTTTCAGGACTTCGGCGAACGACATGGCTTCGTCAACACCAGGTATCTATATGATATTTTGAACGTTAGAATCTTACCTGATAAAAATACTCCTCTCCAAAAAGGCAACTTACACTAAATGCCAAATCCTGCATCATGCCACCTAGCCCCAATCCACCCATGGGATCATCTGCCTGATCACCCCCCGCAGCAAGGAGATCTTGTATGCTTCCATTAGGGTCAATTTCCATAGCACTCAAATTATCGAAGCCGTCGATCAGTCTCGCTTCCTTTCCAAACTTCTGACCAAAGGCATCACTCAGGTTATGGGCCGGGTCGGTGGATATGAGCAGTACAGACTTGCGGACTTTGGCAAGCTGGATCGCTAGCGAACATGATGTAGTTGTCTTGCCGACACCACCTTTCCCGCCGACGAATACCCAGCGAAGTGTCTTTTGGTCTAGGAGATTTTGTAGGGTGGGCTCAAGCGACTCGTCCCCGGAGACTATGGCGGTGGATGACATTGTGGCTGTGAAATTTGGATCTGTTGGTTTGGTGTAGATGTAGAGGTAGGTGCTTCAAAGCGGGGAGTTTTGAAGGTCAGATGTATGTGGCCAAATACGTCTTCGAGTGGTGTAGTTCAAAGCAAGGGTCTCTTATCAAGGTGTATTGGTGGGGCGAGGGAGATGCGGGGTGGGGGAGACTGAGCGCTCGAGCTCAACAAGCGTCGCGAAGGTTGTGAAGGACAGAAGATGACACGAAAACTAGCTCTTGACAGTTAGTTTACGTTCATTTGTTGACTCTCCCATGAAGTCTGTTGGCTTGAGCAAGCGACATCTTCTGGAAGATTCTCTCTAGATGAAAGTTGATCTTGCTTTCGTCTAGTTTAGAGCTGGCTGCTGGGCTTCGGCTTACCTGGAATTCAAGGTTTTTGATAGGGGAAACAAGATGATGGGATATCGTCTTTACACTTTCTAAGATTATTGTTTTATATCCTAACCAATAGCTGGCCACTTATGGAGTATACCCAAAGTCATATATGATGTGCTGAGGATAAGGTGGGCGGTATTATGATCTTCCGGCCCGTTTAATCGACGACAAGCGTCATAAGCGCGCGAAACAAGCGGAACTCATCACACGCGGATGAAGTCAACTTGAAACTTCTTTTCCATCGATTTGAATCTCACGGTCGACGCAGAATTAAACTCAAAACATGGGGTCTTGTCTTGCTTCCGGGGCGTATTTATCCACCCCAACTTGAGCTTAACTCTATCTATCCATGAATGTAAAACCCAGCGACCTTCACCAGCTCAAATCATAACTACTACATTATATCTAGCTTGCAAAATAACCTAGGAATTTAGAGGTAGAGGATTCGACGCCCCACACAGCGTCATTGCATTGAGTTCGGAAACAGTGATCAAAGGTGTACAGTCATCAACCCCTCGGCGCTTCCCGATGGAGAGCCCCGCGGTTACCCCGGATATCGCAACTCAACACCTGCATCCATTGCTGCTACTCCACTGTTCCTGTCCCGCTTTTATCAGGTATTATAACTATATCTGTGCTACTTCTTTCCAAAAATTGTTTGATTCTCTATTTCTCACTTCATCCTTATCCATGTAATATTCCAAGCTGATTACCCACGAAATTCAATTCATTCGCCCCCTGGCCACCCACCCTACATTGCCGGCCCGAAAAGCTCTCCATCGGGAAAATATTACCCACTGCCGAAAGTTGAAGCAAACGGACAATTAAAACATCCCGGAACCGAAACCGAGTGTCGAATTTTACTACTGAATAAGAAAAATTAAAAATTAAAAATTAAACCCTTGAAGAAGCAGCGCCATAGCTTCATTCCCCCAGAAACCGAAAACAAACCACTCCTCCACATTAAGTAATCACCGACCGAAGGGAGAAAAAAAAACAACAAAAAAAGGGAAAATGACAGACCGCGACCCTATAACCTGCCATGTTCTGAACACCATCAACGGCACCCCAGCCCCCGGGCTCGCCTGCACCCTCACCCTCCACAGCATCCTCCTGCCCCCGGGCGTCCCGCAACCCGCCAACCTCCCCGTAACCCTCCACGCCGCCACCGACGCCGACGGCCGCATCAAACACTGGCTCCCATACTCTACCTCATCGTCTGCTTCCACATCTTCCCCAACCTCCACGACCTCCCCCCCCACCACGGGAACCGCAACGACATCCCCAACAACCACCCCCTCAGCGCCAACCACGGCAGCAGCCACCGCAGGCCCCTCCATCCGCTCCCTCCTCGCCTCCATCCACGAGCAGCACAGCGGGCAGCAGCGGTCGATCTGGTCGCTGCGTATCCGGAATGTGGGCGAGTGGTACGCTGAGCAAGGGGTGGAGAGCTTCTGGCCGGAGGTTGAGGTGCGGTTTTTGGTCAAGGGGAGTGAGCGGTGGGATGGGTGGAGGCATTATCATGTTCCGGTATTGTTGGGACCGTGGAATTATGGGACGTATCGGGGGTCATAAAGGGGGTTTTAATTGTGCTTAGAGGAGTTGGTGGGGGTTTCTTCCCTTGGGGGAAAGGGGAGAGGGGGTTCTTTTGCTTCTTTCCTTGCTCCCCTTTTGTGTGAAGTGTTGTTTTCCTGGATGAGATGGATAATGGAGGATTGTTGCGTTGGGTGGAGGTAATTATCCTTTATTGTTTTGTATCTTTCTCTATTTCTTCCGCGCTTGTTATCAAAAAATTGATGGGAGTATTTTGCAGCAGGGAACTGCAATCGTCACACAAAGTTACGGGTAGTTTCAACTTGCGCAAGTCGGGCCCGATGTATCTGCTACTATTTAATTTCCTCCTGATGAGCTTTGTTGAATAATAATAATTATTAAATAATCTATGCCTCGTTGAACCGTTTGTATGCATGCGCTAATGCCCTTCTTTTTTGTCTACCCAGGTAGCACATGTTGCTTTTCCCTCTGTTATGGCAGGGAAGGTGACACAGTGCCTGAAGCGTTGTTTCACTCAAGTTGAAAATTAACAGTGCAGGTGAGATTGATGGCTTTTGATAGCAGCTGTACTATCATTACTTTTAGACGCGCATATTAAGCTAGAAGGGTAAGTGAAAGGGAAGCTGCAATGAACAGATAATGCAAAGCATACATAGGAAGCTCTACCCTTCCTCTACATAATATAGCCAATAGTTAACCTCCCCGATCAAATATCAAATGCCCTTCTCGATCAACCTTGTACCGCCACACCAAAATTTGTATGTAGTTAGTGTTACATTTGAAACAAACATAACAAACAAATTAAGGTACTGCATATGAATTTTGGTGTGGCAGTACAAGGTGATTGAGAAGGTTATTGGCTGTTATAGTAACATATATTTCTTATATATTTGCTAAAATTGTTTCTGTAGTTATGATATTTTGAACCCTCTACAGCATACTCCCTCTGTATTTCCCCCAGATTCTTAACACAAACACTTGCAGCCAGAACACACGTCATCATCCACGGCGGGAAACTGGTTCTGTTGGGGTCCCAATCGGACAATAATCTAGGCTAATCGTGCCCAACATGGCCAGTCTCGCTAGCTTATATAATTTAGCGTGACCCCGCCTTATTCTTCTGGGATATTTGTGATTAGAACGTATTTTGCAAGGCTCACACGGAAATTACCTATTTTGCTTACTCGGTTGCACGAAGCCTGCTTTTTAAAATTTGCCAACAACTCTCATCTAATTGGAACAAGTTGGTGCAGCCATTCATGTGCACTCTTACACACATGTATATTCCAAATCAAGTTAGTGAAATCCAAATCAGGCTAGTGACATCTCATTGTAGCTCTTATTATAACTACTACGTACCTACCACAAGCTAGATATCCACCCCCAGTTTATGAATACACCAAGGTTTGATTTTACAAGCTCTTTGGATAGTGCAATTTAATGAAACCCACCTTGTACTTGGCAACTTAAGCAGTTATTTATAGGATTTTATGTGCGCCAAGAATTACGCGCGCGCAAGCTCTTGGAGTTCTAACTCGTGCGTTCGCTTCCCTCACCACATCCGTGGTTGGTGACTTGTATCTTTTATACTCCATAAGCTCACCCACCATACAGAAGATATCTAGATAAAAAAATCAATATCTTCAACATAACATCAGATATGAGTAAGATATTAATGATAGAAGTATATTTTTGAGTAGAGAATATAGTAAGTAGTAGTATTAAAGAATTTAAATACATTAAAGCTTTTTACTATTAACTTGAAATCACTAGTAGATTCACTACTTAAAATATAGTTATTTCTAAAAACTAAAATATTTTTATTTTTATTTTTATTTTAATATTTACATTCTTTGAAGAATATACTTATATCTTTAGTATTACTCATATATGATGTTGTGTTGAAGATATAGTAAATTCTAGTAATTTCGTCAACAGATATCTTTGAGAAGTCATACAAAAGATACCTGTTTTGGAGAAGTAACATTGTGGTGATAATAACGTTGTGGTGAGGCGCACCCAAATGCTAAGCTACGGACAGATCTGGAAAAGGCCATAATGGTGGGTAATTACATATTTTGATGTGACGTGAGAGAGAATTTCATTAGAGTGAACTCATATCTCTCAAGGAGAATGATGGAATGCTTGCTGAAAGATTGATTATCTAGAATCTCTACGGAATATTCAGTTCAATTTGTGGTCTTTTCTCATTATTATTGAACAATCCATGGACATTTATATATATATATATATATATAAATTCTATGTATGAATAAATACTAAAGAAATATTTCACAGAATTGCAGAATGCCTAAAGACTTTGTGGAATGGCAGCGAGCAGCCTACGTCATCACCATCAAGAATCACTGTTCCAACGTTTCTCGGAGAAATGATGGTAGCGAAAGCTTTTTGAAGGTAAAAATTAGATGCACTAAATCAGTGTCAGATTAACCTCAAAAACGAAAGACCATTCAATTCATTAATCACACAATTGGATATTGTTGTATTTCTTTCTTTGGAACTTCAACTTGACAAAAAGCAGGAGAAGTTACTTTACAAAGTATCATAGCACAACAACCGTTTTTATCTGTCGTGTCTTTTGGCAAGGTGGCTGGACAGGGTTATCTATCATTGTCTATTCACAAGATCGGAATACCATACTTTACTTACTTACCCTGGTCTGGAACACAACTTCCGTAGCGTAAAATGTATGTATCGATAATCAACCCTCGCGCTTCATCGCTGCCAAAACAATTCAACTTCAAATCATTGAACAAGGCCTTTGTTTGCCCCAATCATATTCCATTATTATTAGTTGTTCTTTGGCGTAATCGCAGAGGACCCCACAGCTTTGAAACGACATCGAAAATCTTGGATTTGATATGGTTGTCTGGTTACTAGCTTTTACGGACCAAGTACGAACATCTCAGACCGGCTTGGCGTTGAGAGGTCGAGAATTCGAAGCAAAAAGAAAAAAAAGAAAAAAAAAGGAAAAAAAGTCGCTTTTCTTGTCTTTTTTCTGGGGTCGGATCAATCAGTTGCAAATTGTGGTTTTTGAGCTCTTCTGTTTGTTCACACGAAGCCAACACGAGCGTGGTAACTTATCTTCGGCTCTTTTCTGTTTCTAATCGGGGACACGCGCTCCAACGGCCGGGCATATTTTTCCCAGTTGTAGTCGGGACATTCAGACATCCCTCATCCGTACCATATAGTTTATATATTTTCCCGTGTAAAAAAAGGGCATCCATATATATATATATATTATATACTCCGTATATATACGCAGCGTATACCTAGGTAAATATAGTGTTGTGTTGATTTCCAATTTTTCTTGGGGCGGAAAAACGAAAAGCTTGGTCTGTGGCTTACGTAACAACCACATCATCGGTGTCGTCAGATTTTCCCTTTTTTTCCCTCCCTCGACAGCCCATTTTAATTTTTTTTTTCTTTTCTCTCTCCCTCGCCGTCATCATCACTATCGCATCATTAAGCCATCATCATCCCATCAATTATCCGCCCGCTTTCCATCAAATCGCCCGGCCCTCTCGACGCCCACAATCCAAACTTCACCGCTTCTGCCCCTTTCTGCCTTTACTTTCCCCTTTTCCTTAATTCCTTCCCGCGTTCTTTTGGGTCTTTATTGGCTCGTGCTCGCTTGCTGGGCTGCGTGATTGCTCTCGCCCTTCTCCTGTCGTCATCCACCTCCTCCCCTCGACAGATCGAGTCTTCCCGCCCCCCTCCCGCCTCACCGTGGCTCCCTGCCTGTCGCTGCTACCACTGTCTTCAGTGTTGCTGCCTCCTTTGTCGTTGTCTTCTTGTTGCGTGGTGCGATGTCCGCTGCTATTGCTACCAGACCCTCTCCTCGGATTGGCCGTCCGGCCTCCCGCACTGACTCCCCCATGGACTCCAAAAAGGGCCCCTGGAAGTCAGAAGGTATGTGATTATATCCCATTATTCATGGCTCCTGTCGCAAGTTGAGAAAAAAAAAAAATTTCCCCCGCTCTGTATTTTCATTACTTTTCACGATTTTTCCCCTTCCAATTGCTGCTGTTCCTTGGGTGGCGCAATACTCCTACCTTTTTCATCTCATAACTCCCTACATCAACCACAACCATTTTATTTTCACTCCTCCACCCAAACACTGTCGTCTTGTTAATCTATTCTTCCCGCATGGGCGTATACCCTTATTGCGTCCTTTCTCTTATTGAGTATTATTTTGCTACTGCTATTCATTTATTTTTCCGAATAGTACCTGGCGCGGGAGATACTCGTCAGGTTCTCGTTCCATGATGGACAAACATGTTTTCGAGCGCGTCTAACTGTTCCCCACCTCTCATTAATATAGATGCGCAAAGTACAACCTCTGATCAAAAGGACGCAGCTCATCCTAGTGATGCTGAAGGAACCCAATCCGTCTCTAATAATCGTCGCCAGGCACAACAACAACAGCAGCAGCAGCAGCAACAACAAGCAGGATCTGACACACCCGATTACTTCTCCGGCGTCCATAGCACCACTCAGTTCTCCCTAGAACCTAATCCCTTCGAACAATCCTTTGGCAGCCAACCCGCTGATACTCCGGGAAAATCTCTCCTGCCACCTGTCGCTGCGCTCACATCGCCCGCCTTACCCGGTACAACCTCAGCTGGTGGTTTCAATTGGAGCAATTCACTTCGCGCCGGACCACTCAGTCCCGCGATGCTTGCTGGGCCTGCTGCCTCCAGTGACTATTTTGACGGTATTGGCCGCGGGTTCCCTACGCCAAACGAGTCATCGTTGCGCACCGGGCTTACCCCTGGCGGCGGAGGGTCGATGTTTCCTGCCGCCTCAAGTCCAAACACCCAGGCTCTGATGCAGCAGTTCCAGAGCGGGGGCGCCACTCCATCGACCATTGATTTCCACCGTACGGCTATGAATGCTGCAAGGAAGAATGCCCGGACCTCCAATCCACAGGATTCAGACCAGCTGCTCCAACAACCCACCAACCTAGAAAGCGCCAAGCCTGATTCCCATGTAGATCCTTTCGCACATCATGACGCCACGGATGCTGCCAATGGTCTTTTTATGCTAGCCAAAGGAGGTCAACAAAATAATGGCCAATTTTCCGTTCCAACTTCGCAACCTCCCCCCCAGAATCCATCGAACGAATCGGGCGCAAATCTACAGAACGGGAATAACCCTGCCCACGATATGAATGGTGGTGTCTCGGATAGCGCTGGTGACCAGCCGAAATCAAATCCTCGTGGCGGTAAAGGGCGGAAAGCCAGTTCTGGAAAAAATAATGGTCGACGAAAAGCAGATGATAACACCAATGCCAACAAGGGTGCGAACAAAAGGGCCAAAGGAAATAGTGGCTCCGCGGTGGACCAAAGTGTTGATGGGTCAGAGGAAGAGGAAGAAACTAAACCCCAACAACCCGAACCTTCAAACACCAAAAAGATGACTGATGAAGAAAAACGGAAGAATTTCCTTGAACGGAATCGGTATGTGTTTTTTTTTTTTTTTTTTTCCCTAAAATTTCTCCTGCTAAACATTTTATTTGCACTACTAACATGATGCTCTCTCGTTAAAAGTGTCGCTGCCTTGAAATGTCGACAGCGCAAGAAACAGTGGCTCCAGAGCTTGCAGACCAAAGTCGAATACTACAGCAATGAGAATGACGCCCTCTCCTCAACTGTGACCCAGCTGCGGGAGGAAATCGTTAACCTAAAGACCCTACTTTTGGCCCATAAGGATTGCCCCGTTTCCCAGGCTCAGGGACTAAATAGCATCATGGTAAATGGCATGAGTGGTGAATATGCACAACACGCCAATCCTTATATGACCATGCAGGCAGGTGGCCCTGGTATTGCTGCACAACCCATGCCACGACGGTAAGGAAAGGGGGTTAAAATTAAGATAGGAGGCACAAAGGTAAAAAACGAATGAGTCACCCATGCACTCACCCACGCTTGCACTCCCACACTCCCACCCGAGGAAATGGCGGCATTTTTATATATAGTTAATCATTTGAAACCGCACAAAATCTTCCGGCCGCTAAGATATATACAACCTTACCCTACTCTACCTTACATGCCTGCCTACCTACCTATACCGATGTTCGTTATGAATGTTGACGTTTTCTCCCTGACTATGGACGAAAGGGGGATTACCGGGGATTACCTTTGCCGTTTCCCCCCTTCACTCAATTCTTCTACCACTTCTTTTTCTTGGAAATAATTTTTTAGATTGGCTGCTACACAGTGATAATTTGTGTTTCTTCCTTCTCCTTGTCTGTATGTCTCTGGTTTCTCTTATTTCTCTCATCTTTTCTTTTTACTTTCCTCTTATCTCCTTTTGTTTTTTTTCTCCGTTGGGGTAGTTGCTCTTTTTGGGGAGGGGAACATTAATTGGGTTTGGTTGGTGGAGTTCCTAGTTGGAATTTTCGTGTGTCTTTTTGCTTTAACCCTTACTTTTTAGTGTTCCTTGTTGTCCTTTTCGTATGCTTTATATGTTTTGTATCATGGAGGAGCTGTTGGGTAGGAGTTAATATGGAAAAGGATTTTTCATTTTGATCTTCGTTTTAACTTTCAAGTTTCCCCCTTTTTTTTGGGGGTTTTTTTTTTCTTATTTTGTCCTTCTTTTCCTATTCAGTTGCTGGCCATTTTTCGATCTGTGTGTATGTATGTCCGGTTTAATTGCTGTACGATAGATGCTTTTAATCCCACTATTTGCAATGAACTTTTGACGACGGATAGTTAACTAACAAATCAAAACAAGCAAGCTTTTTTTTTTTTTTTTTCCTGTCTTTCTCTTGACCTTCCTTTATTTTGATTGATGTATTTTTTTATTTTAGTCAATTGTACCGAGTATGTTTCTGAAATCTGTAGCAGTTATAATTGCCCAAGTCCAATGCAAACAAGACAAACTTGACACCGGTCCCAATCGCGAAACTCGAAATTCAAGACAACAGTTAATCAATGGACGTCGTTCTACTTGGAACTTTCGCTGGGCGACAGCAGAACTGACGGACCCGAATATTTATTTCGTTTCAAAAAGGAAAAGGGAATAGGAGGAACCTGGAAAAAAGCGAAAGAAAAGAAGAAAAGAAGAGCCGAGGAATGCAAATCCCATATCCGACTCCAATCAACTCTCCCCATCCGCTTCCCTTTCCCCGCATCCCGCGCCGTTCGTCGTCGACGCTCGCAACACGACATATCTCAGCTCAACGGAGAAAATTGGGGGAAGCGCTCATTTATGGAAGAGTTGGACAAGGGACAGTATCCATCTCTTTGCTGTTGAGTGGTGGGATGGTGGTGACAGACATCCAATCACTTAACGCGTGTTTTCTTGGAGTTGTCTCATCGCGAACAATTTATTGCTGCTCAACCACCACCTTGATCAATTGAGGGGAGATAAGGGATTGCTTGCTCTGTTTTTACGTGTCATTTTTCTATAGGGGAAAGGAACGGATCAATTTGGAAGTGGTTCATCTTCGCCATTCGATCAATTTCCGGCCCGCCGTCAGTTTCCAATATACACAGATTCCACACAAACTAAGTAAACGATGCCACCACCGATCTCCTCCACCTCGTCAACTCCCCACCCTCACCACCGCTCCCGCCGCATCGAAGATGCGCTGAACCAACTCGTCGACTCCCTCATCCCCGTCACGTCGCCATTCCTTTCAAACCCCCGCCGCAACGAAGACGATGAAACTCTCTCCGAAACATCGGTGGACGAATATGCGCGTCTCGAAGCTGCTGAGGCAGACGAGCGACGGCATAGGCGCTGTATGGATATGGCATGGCAGATTCTAGATTCTCATGCGGCTGCGGCTGCCACTGCTAGTTCTACGGGGATAGGTGGCGGTGTTAGTGGTAGTGGCGGCGTGGTCTCAGCGGATGTTATCAATAACGCTCCAGACCTGATTAAACGCAAGTTGCTGAAGGAGAATGCGTCGCCGGACAAAGCGGTGCGGTTCTCGAATTTGTATTCGCGGCTGTTGACACAGCCGGTTCTCGGGCAGAAATGGGCTATTTTGTATCTGCTTTATCGGATTGGGGAGAACGAGGGCGTTTCTGGGAGGACTGAGGCTGGGAGTGGTGGTGGTGCTTCTGGGAGGGGTGGGACGGAGGCTGTTGGTGGTTATGGTCCTGGAGGGGGAAATGCTCGGCGCACCACCGTTACGACGTCCGTGGAGGATTCGGGTTGGAAAAGGGATGGGGCGAGGAGTCCGTTGATGGACGAGCATCAGTTGGACCATATGCTGTTTAAGGATAGATTTGGTCGGAGATCTGTGGTTGATGATATTGCGCCCGGTTCGTCGGTTTCTGCCGTTGGTTGGGATAGTCCCTCCGCAGCTGCTGCGCAGGATGGCCCGTCGGCGTTTCCTAGGAATGGGAAAGATAGGGATGGAAATAGCCCCAGGGCAGCGGATCGGAAACGAGCCGTTGAAAGGAGAGAGAGAGAAAAGGAAAAAGAAGGCCGATCTAGTACGAGTCGGAGGCCTGTATCTATCGCTACGGACGGGGAATCGAAATCTAGGAGTCAAAGTCAACCTGAACAGCGCCAGGAACAGCAACAACAGAAAAAAAAAGGAGAGGCTGAAGATATACCTGTTGAATCGATTTTATTACGGGACTTGCCGTTCACTTTGCAAGGGGTGTCGTCTACGAACATGAAGTTCGCATCGCCTACGACTATAAAACTACCGCAGACCCTACCAGTTCCACTTGTCTCCCTTCTACATACGTTAGCAGAGCCTTGTCTACTGTATCGTGGCTTGTCAGCCTTCGTCGAAGAATCGGAAGGCGGCCTTGTGAAGCAGAGTGTACGAGCGGCTATTGGCAATGAGCTTCGATCGTACCTGGGCTTAGTTGCCACTCTTGAAGGCGAGATTAGGTCGGCATTGACAGCTGTTTCAGACAGCGCCATTGAGCCCAAGGGAACATTGAAAGCTGGCGTCACCTTGAAACGATGCGTTGTTTGGATGAGAGAGGCCACAATGGCTCTAAGGTTAATGAGCTTGATCGTGGAAGAGTCTAAAGGTAAGAGGGGCGGGCAGTTAATCACCATGATTCACGAATTTTCTTCCTCTCACGGCGACCCTTTCGTTGGGGCCTTTGCTGAGCGGCTTCTGGCTCATGTAACTCGACCCTTCTACGGCATGTTAACACAGTGGATTTATGATGGTGAACTTTCTGACCCGTTCCGTGAATTTTTTGTTGTTGAGCCAGAGGCTCGACCAAGCGCTGATCCGCGACGCATCGCGACAAGCGTCTGGGATGACAAGTATAAGCTCGACGATGACCTGGTGCCGACGATTATGACGCAGGAATTTGCAAAGAAGGTTTTCCTAATTGGCAAGTCTCTGAATTTCATTCGATATGGCTGTGGGGATTCGGCGTGGGTGGCGGCGTATTCGAGAGATGCATCAAAAGAATTGAGATACGGCGATACGGCGACGCTAGAGACATCGATCGACGAAGCATATAAAACAACAATGGCGCGCCTGATTTATCTTATGGACTCGAAGTTCAAACTCTTCGATCATCTCAAGGCGCTTAAAAAGTATCTTTTACTTGGTCAGGGGGATTTCATTGCGTTGCTCATGGAATCGCTAGCGTCCAACCTCGACCGTCCGGCGAACTCGCAATACCGCCATACCCTTACAGCACAATTGGAGCATGCCATCCGATCATCAAATGCGCAGTACGACTCTCCCGATGTCCTGCGTCGCCTTGACGCTCGCATGTTGGAGCTCAGCCATGGGGAAATTGGGTGGGATTGCTTCACTCTTGAATATAAAATTGATGCTCCAGTGGACGTTGTAATAACCCCATGGGGGTCGACGCAGTATCTGAAGGTCTTCAATTTTCTCTGGCGCGTCAAGAGGGTCGAATTCGCCCTGGGAAGCACATGGAGACGCTGCATGACTGGTGCCAGGGGGGTGCTAGGGAGCGTCGATGACAAAGTCGGCCAGGATTGGAAACGTGCCCGCTGCGTGATCTCTGAAATGAACCATTTCATCAGCCAGCTCCAATACTACATTTTATTCGAAGTCATTGAAGCAAGCTGGGACCAATTGGAAGTAGCCATCTCGAAGCCAGGATGCACCCTCGACGACCTCGTCGAAGCACACACCAAATATCTCAACTCCATCACTCACAAAGGCCTTCTTGGCTCCTCCTCCACCAGCAACCCAGCCAGCAGCAACAGAGAAGACTCCTTCCTCTCCCAACTCCACCAAATTCTTAAAATCATGCTCGCCTACAAAGACGCCGTAGATGGCCTCTACTCCTTCTCAGTCGCAGAATTCACCCGCCGCCAAGAATTCACTGCGAAGATAGAAACACGCACCGCCCAGGGCCAATGGGGCGTGACCGAAAAGGATCTCCTCCAGCAATCCCAATCCCTATTCCCTCCCTCCACCACAAGCACCACCACCACTCGTCCCGGTCGCTCAGACTCCGCCGCGCGCAGGGCTCCCGGCTCCGCTTCCGAATCCCCCTCAACTGATTCACCGCTTCCATTCGGCGGCCGCGGAGGCACACATTCGAAATCGCCTTCTGAACCCATAACCCCAACAGCGGCCGCGGCGCTACTTGGCGGTATTGGCGTGGCGGGCGGTGAAGATCATCTCCTCCCCTCCCTACGCACGCGCCTGCGCGACCTCGCAGCGGACTTCCGCTCACGCCTTCTCACGCTCCTTGGCGACCTGGCTTATCAGCCGGATGTGGATATGCGGTTTTTGGGCGTGGTTATGAATTTTAATGATGTGTATCAGATTGTTAGGCGGAGGAGACGAGGTACGGGGGCGGCAAAGGATAGAGAGAGGGAGAGGCGGCGGGCTGGTGAGGGGGAGAGTAGGGAGAGGGAGAAGGAGAGGGAGAAGGAGAAGGAGAAGGAGAAGGAGAAGGAGAGAGGGGGTGGTTGATTCTGTTTGCATTGTTGCATTTTATGTTTGGGGGGAGGATGGAGTTTTGTTCGCCTACTTTTGATGCATCTTGTGTGTCTATTGGGAGGGCTTCGGTTTCTGGGATTTTTCTATGATCTCTTAGTCGTGATTTCGTTCTTTTTTTCTTTTTACATTCTTTCAAACTTTTTGACTCGCGAGCTTCTACATGATACCTTTTGGATTTTATTTATTACACACATGCATCTTATGATGATATTTTCTTGTTCAACGTAGATACTTATATACAGTGAGGGATGGCTGCAAAAAAGAAAGTTATGGGGGATGTAAGGTTGAGCACGAAATAGAACTCAGAAGGCAAGAATCCAGTGGACGCTTACTTTCTAAAGGGGGTATACCGAGGAAGTGTGCCATTCAAGATTTCGTAGACGCGGCGAGGAAAATTAAATAATGAATGTTTATTCCCGTTTGGGACGCCCCTGAAACGGAAAAGGTTCCCCGTACAATCTAGTGCTGCCACTAAAGAGATGTATAAAGCTGCGTTGAGATGTTGAGCGGTTTGTAGCTGGTATTGTTTGCTTGCAAATCTGCATCCTTCAATCCGAGTCTAAAAAGCGGAAGTGTTAGTGTCCACGTAAAAGCTAGAGGTGTTGAGACAATCGAGAAAATTACCTGAATCCGAGCTTGAGCCCGACGAAGTTTCTGATCCTCGCAAGGGTATTATGTTAGTTATTGAATGTTTATGTAGGTAGGAATGGTATACCTGAATCTGAATCCGAGCTTGAATCAGACGATGATTCTGACTCATGGTCAAGTGTGCCCTTCCCGTTCACCTCCTTTGCAGCAGGGTTCGAGCTAGCATCATCACTTTCGCTGTCGCTGTCGCTATCACTATCACTGTCACTCTCGCTGCTGCTGCTGCTACTGCTGCTACTGGCGTCATCCACAACGGCCGTTCTATTCTTCTTCTTTTTCTTGGTCACGACCGATTTCTGCTGTGGTTGGGACTCCGCCGCTGCGGTTGTTGGTATACTGCCACCAACAAAATGGCGAACCAATTCCGCTCTCCTCCTCTTTTCGAGTCTTTTAACCCAAACGGCATTTAGGTCTGTTGCTTCGTCGCCAACCATGTCTCCTTCCAAACTGTGCGGGTCCGCCCCTTGTTCCGCTAGCAGTTTTCTGAACGATGATATCGAATCCCTATACACATCCTTCTGAGACGCATCGCCACCATCAATCTCCTTCTCCGAATCGACATTGGCATCATCCGCCTTGATAGCTTCCACGGCAACCTCCGCAACTCTCTTCTTCGCCCCGTCACCTTTTATGCCGGCAAGATATGCAGCCAATGAGGCATTGTATGCCGAAGGTATGCGATCCACCGATAGCGCGTGCTTAAGCAAATGGGTTTCGCGATTCTTCTGAAATTTCCATTGAGCCCGAGATTTGTGGTAGAGGGTAAGGTATTGCAGGATTGGGTGGGTGTGGGAAGCAGGGGAATCCATTGACGAAGCTAGGGTAGGGCGATTCTTTGCGCGCTGTTGTCGTTTCAATTTCTTCTTCTCTGCTTTCCTTGTAGCGGCTGGGCTTGGTTCACGATCATCCTCGTCCTCCTGTTCAAGATCTAATTCGACGTCTGCATCTCCATCTTCCGATTTTGTATCCTCAGCGAAGGAGACGGATTTTCTTTTCTTGGATTTAGGTTTTGAGGGGGGTTTGTCATCTCGCTGCTCCACGGAGGATGGCTCAATAGATGATTTCAACTCTAGATTCGAGGCATTCTTTTTCAGTATTTTTCCATTTATATCCTCTTCTTCCCGTTTGGTTTTGTCATTAATCGTGCTTTTCTCCACCCGTTGTTTTTTGACGTTTGGTTCCTCGTTCTCCGACGTAAGAGGCCTCTTTTTAGTTCCTTTGGACGGAGAAGAGACATGCGAAGTGACATGCGAAGCGGTATCTGTTTCGATAGCGGAGGTAGTGGAATTCTTGAGCTGCAACCCGAGCTTCTTCCACGCCGGAATTCGGGAGGTCATTTTCGGAGTTGTTATGGTTGGGTTGGCGTTTGTGTGTGTGTGTAGATGCCAGCGAGGAATTTTTGAAGGGAACTCGCTGAGCTTAGGCTATTAAAACAAGGTCACAGCGAATACCTCATATACTATATCCGTGTTCGCGGGAGAAACCATGTTCTAATTCCTGGTAAATCTGTTCAGAGGAAGTATCATTCCACTGAAACGGATTGTTTTTTTTATTTTTTATTTTTATTTTTTATTTTTATTTTTTATTTTTTTGAAGAATATCATCATGTTGTATCTAATACCGTACAATACACCGTACAATACACCGTAATCTAAAAATTAAAGTGGAAGCTCCGAGAGCTGATACGTAATAAGGCGTTTTCAATACGGTTTGCTTGAGATCTAGCATTAATAGTTTAAATGTGCACAAGATGCTAGTAATTAGAGGGTTTAATTTATATAAAATGGTACTATAGCTCCCAGATATTTTTGTATCCCGTTGTTGCGGCTGTTTGCTGATGGCTAGCCGATATGTCCAAAAGCACGCCTTACCTGATTGGGCGCTAGTCCTCCAACCTCAACTCTGGAGCTTTCCCCGTTCAAGGCAGCTTCACCTACACGCGTTCACCTCCCAGCTTCATTATTTACCCAATATCTACGTCTCACCACTTTGTCTCTATTAGACTGTTGCCATCTGTCGTTTTAACATCTAGTTTTAAATCTTTTGCCTTTGTTCATTGCCCTCAGCCCAGCTACTTCAGCCACTATGTCAGGTCAGTAAATAGCGGCTCGGTCATCCTTTGTTGGGCGACAACTGACCCGCTTTGGTCCAAACAGGAAGCGCAGGTTACGATAGACACATTACCATATTTTCGGATCAAGGCCGGTTGTATCAAGTCGGTGAGTAATTTTCGGATGGTGGGATGTCCCCAAAGCTGCTAAACCACTCTGGAGGCTAATGGAGCTTTACTCCAGAATATGCGTTCAAAGCTATCACCGCTGCCAATATCACATCGCTAGGGATCAAGGGGAAGGACTGCGCCGTTGTACTATCGCAGAAGAAAGTCCCAGTGCGTATAACCTGGAAACGCTGTGATCATCCTAAGACTCAATTAGTTAACGGCCCTTCTCTTGAATCGTAGGACAAGCTGATCGAGCCTTCATCCGTCACCCATATCTTTCAACTCTCACCATCGGTTGGATGTGTCATGACCGGGTCGATAGCGGACGCTAGAGCATCAGTAACTAGAGCCCAGAGCGAAGCAGCTGAGTTTCGATACAAATTTGGATATGAGATGCCATGTGATGTGCTTGCCAAACGACTAGCGAATATCAATCAAGTCTACACTCAAAGAGTTCGCAAATAAACCCCCACTCCCTTCTAGAACCGTTACCGACCGTGTTTGATTGAGTTGGACTGCTGCTGACACACTGCGTGGTTTTTAGGCCTACATGCGACCACTGGGTGTTGCGATAACCCTCGTGTCCGTTGATTCGGAGTTGGGCCCACAACTATACAAGTGCGACCCTGCAGGATACTACGTGGGATATCGAGCCACTGCTTCCGGCCCCAAACAGCAGGATATCCTCAACCATTTGGAGAAGAAGCTTAAGAACAAAGAGCATGCGGAGGGATCGTGGGAGGACGTGGTTGAGCTCGCCATATCGACGTTAAGCACTGTTCTAAGTGTAGACTTCAAGAAGAACGAAATAGAAGTGGGTATCGTTGGTGGGCCTCGAGCTGATGGCAAGGAAGGGACGCAGACAGAGTTCCGCTCCCTTACAGAGGAGGAGATCGATGAACGGCTACAGGCAATTAGCGAGAAAGATTGAGAGCCGTCGACGTATATTTTTTTTTGACTTAACTCTTCATTCTAAGGATGAGCCTATAAGGCTGGGGATGGCAAGAAAGGCCTTGTGATTGCCTGCAGATATCCTTGATGAAATGAGGAACCATTTGCTTAGATTTCGTGATGACCTCCTTCCCTCCCTCCTTTTCTGCTGTTTTAACATCCAATACAAATTTTGCAATTCATACCTCTAGGTCCCTCATAATTGTGGCAATTATTTCCTTTCACCCGTTTCTCGTTCATCTCTTGTTTTGGCTGATTCTCTGAGGCTACATCCCTATTGTTATTTACTATGGCTGGCTTTCTATGCAGTCTCAAACACATCTCAAACCAGGCTATGCAAAAGTCACATCCAATCGATTACAGCACCGCCGATGACGCAGTTGGATTCGATATATGATTTTATGTTCCTTTTGCTATTTGTCAGTGATGGGTGATGATAGATGGACCCATAAGCCGCTACTCCAGGTCAAGGATGAAACGGTACATCCGAACCGAGGGAAGTATGCCTTCTTAGTTGTGGTTTGCGGTTTGTGGAAACAATAGCCGGGATAAGAGAGCATCGGCCGGATTAATTGGACCCTAGAAAGGATCATTCAGCTATGATCAAGGGCCAAATTGCCTCAGGGTACGATGTGGTGTCAAGGTCGTGCATGAGCTCACGGGTGGAGTTCTTCGGCAGACACAGCAGTTCCAAGTGCGATGCAGAGATAGGCGCTGTTGCTTTTTGGCCACGCGGGGGCAATCGATGTCAGCTCGTTGCAACCTGCGCCATACCGGATGGGGCTAGCGCGGCCCAACACAGGCCAGGCCCCACCGCCCTGGGTGGCGTTGGGCCAGTGTGGCTTGCCAGTCTCAAGCTGTGGCTGGAACACCAGACAGTGCGATTTCCACTTTCGGCGCTATCGATTCTCCCTAGTCCGCTCCGCTCCAGTGCGTTTCCAGCTCCGATCGAGCACTGTGCGTTGGATTTGTCGTGACGCTTCGGCCAGAGTTGCTTCTTTGCTATGCACTGCTCCCAAGTTGCTTCTTTGGCTATGGCTTTGTTTCCGACCCAAAACAAACCATTGGATGCTCCACTCCAATGTTTGCGCGGTGGCCCCTACGTGCCTGCGTGTCGGGATCTTCTATTTCCTCCTTAGTTTACCTTCTCCTTGTCTATATTCTATTTTATATTTAAAGGTGCCGCAGGCTCCATCATGTCCTTGTTAATGGGAACCTAATCACGAATAAGGCGAGGAATCAATGAACATCACTGGCTTCGATCAATCACATGTTGGCATTTGCTCTACCCTCCGGGGACCCTACTCCTATTATGTCTGACCCTCGTGTGTGCTCTCTTCTTTGTCTTATACCCAAACCATTGGGACTAGTTTATAAGGTTGCTGACTTCGCCTGCTAGTCAATGATGCTCGAGCTATAAGGGTCACCGAATTAATGAATGATTTCCGAACTATACACATCAACATCGCCGGACTTAGAACGGAGCCTACCCCCAACGAACAATTCAGTGAAGGATATGTTGTAATGAACCAATGTCTTGCTGATGCGCAAACCCTCCTCAATTCGTCACTTGATATACCCGAAATCCAAGGCTCGTCTAACGAAGGTGAAAGTGTGACACTAGATCTCCAAAGGTAATGAATTCTGTAGCCTTAATTAGTAGGAGAACCACTTCCTATTCCTAATTACCGTTCAATTCTTTAGGTTAATCATCGATGCAAGTGCTCGCCGGTTCCAAGCTCACAAAATCTACCTCAGAATGGCTGCCGCAAGCCGATGGGTATTGCGCCGAACCCAAGTGCTTCAAGGACAAAAGATGAGCGCTCAGCATGTTAACGACTTACGAGCTGCGAGTGAAGCTCTTCATACTGTGAGATATTTCGCTTTTCGACAGCTTTCGTCTCACCAGCAAGCAAACCCTGAACTAACAGTAGCTACTGCTACTAGGAACTTGCAGATATTACTGACAACGCCGTGGTCAATGATTTACGATCAGCCGATATGCGTTCCGGCTACTGGCTCGGTGAAGACCCGTCATTAAGTACCATTCAAAGCTGGATTCGTTCGCAAAACTAGCCCGTTTGAACTTGCTCTGCCCTACTATCGGGATCCCAGAGCCTCTGCTGTGATGTCATCGACTTCTCACGATTGTTTCTTGCTCGTTTCCTTCGGTGACTGGAACGGAAGGAAAAAATCCCAAAAGCTCCCAATTTTTTGAGTTGCTGCTCTATACCCTCGCTCGACTTTTTATATTCACTTGCATAATGTCCTCGGCACGACCGCACTTTCGCGTTCATGGATTTGCTTCCCACTACGCCATTATTTTCTGGATATTTTTTGGCGCATTGCATACCTACATACCCGGATGGATTTACGTCGTGATAGTTATATTTACGAAGCTGCTCATGACTACATGTATACTCTAATCTGACCGTCACGACGAATAGTATAATTCTTGGGACGGTGGGAGAGTGGTGAGACGCGTTAGGAGAAATGCTGGACCTTTCTCATATTACGTTTTTTGCTTTCTTTTTCTAGATAGATTTGGTCTATCCTTTTACTCCTTTTGCCGCTTTTTTCTTATGAGTGTTTTAATGGATCATTCTTTTTTCTTCTTCTTGCTCTGGAGCATTATTTCCTTCTTGTATTTGTCTTCTGGGATTGGGACAGGATCCATGGGTTTACCTTGCGTCAATCTTCCATTTTGGCGGATTAGATATGATTAACAACTTCATTTTCGGCTACGCATTTTTGGTATGCCTTTTTCTCTTCTTTTCTTGTCCTATTTCGTTCTGGTCTAACCCGGGTGGCGAGGATCCAAAAACTTGTTTCTTTCCTTTGATTTTATTTGGGTCATTTAGCGCGGAGATCTTTCTATATCGGTCCTTTTTTTTTTTTTTTTTTTTTTTTTTTTTTTTTCTCCTCCTTCTCAAACTTCTCGTTTTATTAACTGCTGGACGGGATGAAGAAGATAGTTTGATAGAATTGATCCTAATTTTCGTTAATTGGTTTTATTTACTTGACCCACAGGTGACTACATTTGGCCGATCAGCGTCTGAAGGCCCAAAACAATTTCAGAGTCCAAAAAGTCAGGCAAGTAGCCAATCAATTGACTTTCCGGGCGCTTCCTCGGTTCACATTCTTAGCTGGAGAGGAATAGGGAATTCGCAAGCGAAAACCTTCACGAAATGATTAGGTATATTTATGGGGTCGTGTATATCTTCGCCACAGCTGCACGATGCGCTAAAATTGATCGGACCTTACTGACAACATTACTAATTAGTTGCGATTCCGGTTGATGTTAATGTTGCCACAAGCTATGGTCAGGGCGTTTCGGGGCCACTTGGAGAGCTCAAAGCTACGGATTACGTTCGTCCTGTTCATTTTTCCCCTTCAAGCTGTTCTTGTTTTCATTTTCGCCCTCGCACTTATATGATCAAAGCCACCTACAGTTCAGGCAGAGTCTGCTGGTCCGTTTACAATGATGCAATACAGCAATTGCTTGAAACTGAAGAGCTTCGTTCTCAGTAGTAGCTAAGACTACTGCATACACATTGCTTGACATTAGGCGCGGCATTGGGTTTGTTGAGTTGGATCTGGTTACCGAAACCAAAATCACTGATGCTCTTGATACCCTCAGCGTCTCCGGATCAAATCTATCAGAACCAATATTGATTAACCCGAGCTATCTCGTATTAGTATCATAGCCAATCAAACTAGCAATGCATTTCACAGAATCCGACCATTGGCACCGAAGTCAAGTACACATTCATGGAGGAAGTTGAGCACTGAGAGTATTATGTTCCTGAACATTGTGTATGTTATCGCTCATAAACTTGAGTCCAGCGGGTCTGCCGCAAACTGGCTGGCACAAGATAGAAAGCAACGTCGGCTTGTTGGTCTCAAGATCTCCACAGCAGAATTGGCTAGATGAACCCAGGATGAGACGCAGATTCTTTCACAGCTAGCTAAGGCTAAATCTAGCCCCTCTAAAAAGGACACTTCTTTCACATTGACCAGGCCCAAATCGCACTCATCATATCTCAATCTTTTCTTCTCTCAGCTGCTTGAACCATCACTTCACAACTTATACTCAATCTGTAATTTATGCATTTACAAGGTGTGTTATTCATGGTGATATATTCAACAAGTCAAAATCCCATCTCATAATATAGCATATTTATACCCTTCTTCACTAAAAGCAATGCTTTTCCTTGGGCTGAGAGTCCCCTCAGAAATTCAATTCCCCCCTCAAACTCAAGCTCAAACTTCTGTTACAAGCATCAGGTTGGATGAACTGTCTTTGCCACACATGATAGCATGAGGATCTGCACAATATGCACACCCATGCATGTGATGGAGCTTATCCATATGTGCAGTTTGCGAAATCGTCCCAGCTGAAGGTAAAAGTATAAAATCGGAACTCATCGCCAAGATCGCTTGGGTGGGCTCTTTTCCACCCCTTGCAGCATCATTGCGACTACTTCATAGCCAATTACGCCATTCGGTCTAGAGGTAGTAGTAGATGGATTTAAGATGATGGGAGGTTGATTCAACTCATGCTTAACGTTAAAAAAAGAAGTCAATCGTTGAAGAGCTACTAGCTTGTTCAGCTAGCTTAGGGGTTTGAAATCATAAAGATCATCTAAATATCAAATGAGAAACTGGTACTCAACTTTCTATCCACGGCATGCTGTCAGGCTTCTGGCCCATATGTAGCTAGTAGCTATTTACTATTATATTAGCTGGTTGTGGGCCGGGGATACAAGTGCATAGAAAAAATTCAGATTCCTCGGCTAACAATCGGCGAGAGCGACGCTAAGAAAAAATCATTATTCCTATTGAAGTCTAGCGCTCTTACCTTAAAAAAAATTGGACATGCCAAGCTTTTTTCAGATCCATGGATAGGATTGGCTATTAAACTGGCTAAGCCACATGTGGTCCGTGCCGAAATCAATACGTGAAAACAAAGTTGTGGCTATGTGGCGGTGCACTCTATCTGTGACGAATGTCCTGGTGCATTTTGATGGGAGTATCAATAGGGATAGTGACAAATATTGATCATTGAGGCTGGGAAATTCCTCTTTCCCGCTGCTTGTTCAGGTAAGCCATTTCCCAGGCTCGACCGTTTCGGGGAGAATGGGGCAGGGCAAAGGTAAGTAGTCAGAGTTATCTTCAGACCAATTCATCCCACATCACATTGGAGGCAGTACCTAATGAAAGGCATATTCATGGCTTTGTTTGATCTTCTCCTGAGGCTGAGGGTGGGAAGATTTTAGATCTTCGGCCCTGGCTTCCTCCCAACATTGGGGACGGGATGAAGAGGTTCGATGATAGACACGATCTAACCAACTTCGGGCGTCGTTGAACCAGCCTCCCGTTGCACTGATGTGACCACTGTGCAATTGCCCAATCTAAATGTTGAGGAGCGGGCATTTCCCAGGTTTGCATTTTTGAGAGGCATGGGTCGCACGTGGGAAAAGTACGCTATCGGCTATTACTGCCTGTGACATCAGCCGGATACCAAGCAAATGGGCACTAGGAGGTAGGAGGGAGGTTAAACGTAATGCAATATATCCCGGCAATACGGGGATTGGAACGGTGGGAAATGGGTGGCGCTTAGATGCTTCCCCGGTATTCATTGATTTTTATGTCCTCTCACCGATGAAATCCGAGGTTCTACTGGCGCTGATATGGTTTTATTTGCCGCTCGCTACAAATATAGAAGAGATAGACATGACTATCCCAAGAATTCGCCTCCCAATTATTTCCAGAGTGAAGTCGTCAGCGTCATGGGATGTTGCCGATCTTCAGATCATATTATAAATGCGAATTATCAATATCCTGAGTCGAGGCGTGCGTAGATTGCTTCTCAGTTTGGTATCCTGCATGGGGTAGAGTTACGCAGAGCGCTCACTTTTCTCATATGACGCCATGAATATGGACCAAGGACAGAGGCACAACTTGTTTCCGAAGGTGACGGTTTAGCCATTTGCAGCTTGCTATATTTAGGCGTTGGAAGCGACTTTATCTTCATTGATCTACCTCAAGCTCCTGTCAACGGCTCGAGTAATAGAAGCGCAATGCTTCACTAGAAGCCCTACAGCCGTAATATATATTTGGCCTTGAGCCAGAGACCAAACTGCAACCATTGAGGGGATAGCCGGGATACCGGAGGTAGCTAGCCACCTATATGCATCTAGGCAGTCGGCAGGACACAAAATATTGCCGGGCGTCGGATTTGGGTTTCAGATGAAAGCCGTTTCCATCTAGAGTCGCAAGTTCACGAGTCCATTTGGGAGATAGCACATTTCGTAGATGCGGTCCTCCTGCTCGACTGATACCGGTTACCTGTCCACACGCAATAGTTGTTAAGGTGGTAGGCGCTAGAGTGGTGCATTGCAAACCATTGGCTGAGAAGCCGATATAACGAGCTGGTGGACAATGGTTTTAACGCACCAATGGAAATGGTGCTGTAGGAATGAAATTTGAGGCAAGCAACTCTGCTCCGTTTGATATTAGAAGAATGTTTACCTTACCATTGGAATGATAAGAGAATATCACGTAAAAGTAAAATAAGAAGGTATATCATAAAATATCATTTGCATAGTTTTTGTTTTTGTTCTCAAGAGATCCTTGAGTTTTCTGTGTGTTGTTTTGAATCTGCTATGCAGTGCTCCATTATTTTGCTATGGTGTATCTATGCATAACGCAGAAACTTTCATGACAAGAAGAACCCATCCCAAGCAAAAAGAAAAACTCCCATTTAGAATCCTGGAAGGTTGATCGATTAGTCAATTTCCCCTGACAATGTGATGATCCCTTATGATTAAAAGAGTCACCCTGTGGGGTTATACGTACTCAAAGGGGTGAAGAACCATCTGTTCTTTCCACTGGTGTACCGTTCCTCCAAAGACTTCTTGACGACTTTCTTAGCCTCCTCCCGTTGCGACACCTCCTTGAATGTATCATTTGTGATAGCACCCTTGAGTCCCTCGAGCTCGAGCGTGTAGCGGGTGGGCATGAGATGGTTGTAGTTGATGGTCTTGATGAACGGCTTGACCTTGCTTCGCTTCGCGACCTTCTTAGCTCCCATCCGGCGGGTCACTTTCGAGGGATATCGCTCAATACCGGCAACGAGGGCGTAGGGGAATGGGTGGGCTTTTGTGCCGGCATCGTATGGCTGAATGATTACGACCTGAAAATGGCGGAAAGACGATGAAATTGTCAGTTTGTGGTTGACCGGGATATTATTGGATGAGCGCATCCTTTATCTCTGCGATTTGATATCCGTATAAAAACACGCAGTCTTGCCCGCGATTCTCCTTCATTATTTTTTTCAAATTCCCGCCAAATAGTCCCACAGCAGCTATATCCTTAAAGCACCAAGGTGAGAGAATTTCTTCGTACCTTCTTGCCGGCATAACGTCCTCGTGTGATGATGGCCACACGGCCCACTTTCATGACTGTTTTCGCATTGTCAGCAAAAAAAAAAAAGATACCTCCTAAACCATGGCAGACGGAGCAAACGTACACTTCATTTTTCAAAAGTCCTGGCGGTCGTGAGCGAGGTCGACGGGTGGTGTTGGTGTGCTGAGTCGGTAGTCTGTCGTGATCCTCCGCTCTCTTTTTTCTCGAGGTTGAGCGGGAGGAGGAATTTGTGTGCTCGGAGCTGATTGGCCCGCTTACCGACCAAAGACACCTAACCGTGTACGGCAAGTTTCCCCATTGGGAAGGTTTATATCACGTGAACAAACTCACATCGTTGCTTGTGTCTTGGCACTGCAGCTGGCTTGGTGTCCCGGTAACCTTGGAATTTGTTTGTTTACATTGGCAGCCGCCAAGCACTGGCCTATATCAAACTATATCCCTCCACAGTGTCGCTGCTTCACCTACACAAACAACCACCCGCCCTCTACCCATGACTTCTGCCTCACCTTTTTTGAATTATTTGCCTGTTCCTGCTTATTTCTCGTTTGCACACTGCTTGTTTATTGTTTATGTACTGTTTTTCTCTTTACGAAACCTCTCCCATCTAACTCAAGACACCCCTGACTACTACTTCTTCTGTACGCTGCAACAATGCTCTTTGTGGCATAAAACAACCGCTACACCTGTTCACACAATAGAGATAAACGTGTGCTCTCTCGATTTTAAAGAAAAAACTGGATTTCGGCGTTATTGTTTACAACAAGACGAATTGATTATGAAACAAATTGATATGGAACCGCCTCGCGATCGAGAGCTTGTTTTGAAGGACCGGCACTCTTTCTCAGAGATGTCCAACCGGCCAGCTATCCCAATGTACGTTATCATATATCGACATGTTTATTCCATTGTATATACCTCAAACTGAAGAAAGGAGCTAATTTCATTTCGTTTTGCGGAACCATAGGTGGGATAGTGCAGACCCAGAACGAGCTCCGCCTCCACTTCCCTTAAACCCAGGCCCGGGTAGTCCCACAACCCGGCCAAATGCTTCCGCATCTATACAGGCAGTTGCCGCTGCATTATCAGAGAGAAGCAATGAAAATGTTCCAAGCTCTTACACAGTTAATCCCATGCCACTGAAGTCATCGCCAGAGAAGTCCCTGGTCAAAGGACAATTCCATAAGCGCATACAATCACTTCAGCCAGCAACGAACAGCCGCGAGCTTACAACATATACAGAACGGCGCTCCCCTGATCGAAACCCCAGGGCAAGTCCATTTGATGCTGACGGGGGACGAACGCGAGAGAAAAGCCCCACTCGAGTAAAGACACCCACTTCCGCCGGGAAGGACCCTTCCAATTTTCGAGCGTCCAGCCGTTATCTCTCTAAACCTATCCTTGGAGAGAACACTCCCCCTTCTGCTACAATGCTTGCCTTGCAGAATATGCATCTCCCAATTGAGATAGAATCTCCTACCAGGGGCGCTAGCAACAACACTTCACCGCAACAGCCTCAAGATTTGGGTTCATTATCTGCCCAAATTTCGAGTTTAACCTCTATCGCAACGGCCTTGCAGCAAGAAATGGCACAGTTGAGCAGGCGCAGTAAAGATAATGCCACCGATCTAGTCAGTCTCAAAGCTGCGACAAATGCGCGGGATGAAGATATACGCCGAAGCCTCAAGGACCTGGCAACAAACCTAACTGGCAAGTTACTGGAGAACGAGACTTCCAGGTCTACCGCCTCATACATCCATTCCGGTTCGAGCGGATTTATGCTTGATAGCAAGGCCCATGATGCGACGTCTCCCTGCTCGAGGAAAAGCTACACAATCCCTCGGATGCAAAGCCCTAGTAGCTTCGCAGCCGCTATAGAAAGGGAGTTAGCTGCCTCCCCTTCTATTTCGACGGATGGCTCTGCAAGCATCGCTTTGCTGGAGAAGGTCTTGCGCGAGATGGCCACAAAAGAGGGTCAGGAGAAGTTGCTAAAGCTGATGGACGAAGTAAAATCTAGACCCAGCGGAGGCCAGAATTCTGACAACGCCATGTCCCAAATGCTAGAAGAGATCCTCAATCTAGTCAAACAAAACTCCAACAACCACGCTCTTGTCCGTGCAAGGCATGTTCCTGACAGTCAAAATTCCCCATCCCTGGAGCTTGGTTATGAAACACCACGGTCAGGGCCGTTGAGCCGTAACGCAGAGACAGAGACCCCTATCCAAAACCAAAACCAGAGCTTGGAAAATGGCTCCCCGACCCAAGCCACTGATGCTCTTTCCGAAGAGATCCTGACCATCCTGAAAAAGGTCAAAAGCAGTGTTGCCGACGGTGGTGGTTTGACCAACGAGGTCAAGGCGCTCGTACGAGAACTACGTGGCGAGGTTTTGGGGATGGGAAGGGAGATCGCGCGGAAGTTAGAGGAAGCCGACGCGGGAAGGGCATCGGAGCAGGAAATACCACCAGGTGCCAGGGCAGAGGAAGTCGCACACATTGTAAATGGTGCTCTAGCCGACCTGAGGGTACATATGGAACAGATTATAAGTGACACTCAACGCCAGTTATCTTCGAGAATACCTCGCGTGGTCGACGGCCAAGAAGTGTATATGGCTGTAAAGAAAGCGCTCGAAGACCACCCTCTACCGGAGCCTGCTCCTCCCCAGATAACCGGATCAGTCTTGGAACGGGAAGAAATCCTCGAAGCCGTCCGGGAGGCTTGGGAGACGTACAAACCTGAGATTGAACTTCAAAACTTTGGCCTTGAGAGGGATGAAATTTTAGAATGTTTGACTGAAGGCTTGAAAGCATACCAGCCCCCGAAAGAGCCAGCTGAGCCAGACATCACCTACAGCGAAGTTCTTGAAGCTGTCCAACAGGGTTTGGAAAACTTTACGCTGCCGCTTATGGAGCCTGATGGAGCCATAACACGGGAGGAAATAACCGCAACAATAAGAGATTGCTTGGAAAGTTTTGAGTGGCCAGTTCCCCCTGCCGTGCTGGATAGAGAAGCTGCTATCAACCGCGATGATGTCTTAAATGCTGTCAAAGAGGGATTAGCTACGCGAGACAATTTTTCTAAAGAGATTGAATTCAACCGGGACGATATCACAGAAGCCGTAAAGGCCGGGATCGATGAGGTTTCTGGGCTGTTGCACAACAACGTCAGCGATCAGTTCTTGGACCAGCTGCATTCCTTGCTAGGTGAGATGAAGGATGAATTTAAACAGTATTCTGCCACCAACGGAAGGGATACGGAACAGGTGCTGGATGCTATCAAGGACGGACTCGAGGCTCTTAGAGGCGAAATCGAATCCTATGTAGATCGTGCTTCAGATGTGACCGGGAAAGATGAGATTATCCATACTGTTAAGGATGGATTCCACTTGTTGCAATCGGACCTTGAAAAGTCCATTGCCGAAGCTGCTCGAGTATCTGATGGGGGCCATTCTAATACAGTCGAACTACTCGATGCGATGGAAAAAGAGTTTGAACATCTCCGGCAAACAATGAGCAACCTGCTGATTCGAAACAGCGTTTCAAGTGAGAAGGACGAAATTCTGGACGCTATTCGCGACATTGCAGAAGGTGATAGGTCAAAGGATAACGGCTCAGAAATTTCCCAAATGGTTAAAGAGGAGTTTGAGCATCTGCGCGAAACCTTGACTCTCATGATTATGAAGCCGAATTCTTCCCTTGAAAGGGATGAGCTGGTGTCCATTCTCCGGGAGAGCTTTGAGGCAATTCAGGACGAGAATAGCAGGAGGAAAGACGGAAATGAGAGCGTTATTTCCAACACTGGGGAACTCCTTGACGCCTTCCACGACGGAATTGATATCCTCCGCTCAGATTTGGAAAAGATTATGAATAGACCAGCGGATACCAGTGAGGAGTTTCTCGATTCGCTAAGAGATGGCTTAGCTGGCGTTAGGGCTGAAATTGAACAGCTCCGCCATGACCAGAAAGAAGCCGAAGAGACCCAGACCATACGCGGGCAAGAGGTTATGCTTGCGAGTGAATCCTCAATCGGAAGTGATATTGAAAGTTTGAAAGTTCTCGTTACGCAGCTCCAGATCAAAGTCGAAGCGATTGAACCTCGGCCAGCGGACTCGGAAAATGAAGCCAACATTGTGAAAAAAGATGACCTCATCGATGTCCTTAACTCGATTAAAGAAGTACAAGAACTTGTGGTTGAAGTTGCCAGTCGTGAACCGCCCGCCGCCGTGGTGGACGAAAATGCCGCTAAAAAGGAAGATACTGACGCAATCGAAACTCTGCTCGTAAACATGAAAGCGAAGGTCGACGAACTGGCAGAGACAGGTGGCTCGCATGGGATGACGACAGAGCGAGCAGATGCGTTGGAAGCACTCACAAAGGAGACCAAGGACATCTTGGATGGTTTCGCTGCTCACGTGGAGACACACGGTGCGTCGAAATCAGAACTGGAGAATCTTGAAACCATCGTAAAGGATATCTGGGTTGCTGTGGAAGAGATGAAAACGAACTCTGCGCCGCCTGAAGACGCCTCCGAGAAGGTCCTCAAAGAGGATGTCCGCACCCTGGAGGCTATGCTACTTGGAATCAAATCCCAACTTGAGGACTTTGTTCTTCCAGATATAGAAACTCTTCCGACAAAAGACGACATTGGTGCCGTTTACCACATGGTAACTGAGTTCAAGGAAAAGGTGGAGGTGGAAAACGACCTCACGGCTCAGGCGTTTGAGTCCCGAAAGATCGAACACGGTGGACTGGCGGAAAAAATTGACGAAGCTAAGCAGCTAATCATTGACTTGAAAGATGAACTCAAGAGCAAACTTACTAATAGCGAGGAAGGACTTGTCGACATGAAGACAATTCTGGAGGCATTAAGTGATTCGTCAGAGTCATTCGCTACCGCTGAAAGCCTCAAGGAACTTAGTGACCTCATCACTCGCGAATTCGACCGCTCCCATGGTGATCGCGAGGCTGAGAAGATGGAAACGGCTGAAAGAGAGACTGCTATGTCGACGAAACAAGAAGAAGCCCGCGCAGCCATCGTATTGGACCTTGGGACGAAAATCGACGAGAAGTTTTCCGAACTTTTGTCTAAGTATGAGGACGCACAGATGCTGGTGGATTCGAAATTCACGGCTATCGAGGAGCGAGATGTCCAAAGTCTGGATACCTTGACAAGCACCAAAAACATCGCGGAAGATCTCAAGCTCGTTATCGGTGGTATGGGAGATAGCGTAACCCAGGCTTGTGAGAGGATGAGCGACGATGCAAAGACCTTTTTCGATCGTGTCGATCAATCCTTCTCGAAGGTGGATGACCTCCGCGCCGACGTCCAGTCGCAGCACGACCATCTCAAAGGAGAGTTTGCACGGGCGCTTGAAGCAACAGATCGACTGGAAAGTCAACTCGCGAACTCACATCCTGAAATCCTTAGCACTATCAATGATATATTGTCCATTGTCGGCCAACACTATGAACACTCGCAGAAGACTAGCGAGGAACTTAAATTAAATGTCTCAGCAATCCCATCAGCCATTCCTCCTTTATTACCAGCTCTTCCCCCACCACCTCCTCCACCAGAACCTCGGGAGATTGTCGTGCCCGAAAAGTACGACGACACAGAATTGCAGGGCAAATTAAATTCTCTCCTTGACCATGCCTCTAGTGATAAATCGATGTCCCAGATTGAAAAGCTTGACAAAATCCAAGATCAGATTACGTCTGCGGCCAATGAGCTGCGTGAAATGATGCTGGCCCAATCAGCCTTGTTGATCCAAGATTGCGAGAGAAAGAATAAGGAGGCTGAAGAAGTGGCCATCGCACTCGAGAAGAGGCTGGCACAGAAAGAGAGGGTAGAGGCAGATGTTGTCGAGCTGAATGAAGAAAAGGAGTCCCTTTTCCTTATGGTCCAGGCACTGAAAGAAGAGAAGGAAATGCTTGGTAAACAGAACATGAAGCTCCATAAAGAGGTGGCAGGGCTGGAAACTGCGTTGCGCATCCGGAGAGAAGAGATGCAGCTCATGGAGGAGCGCGCAGAGGGATTGGAACGGAGAATTGTCGAAGGTGTTCTTGATCATGCCAGAAGCCTCCTCATCAGTCGACCTGGTAGCACTCAAGCTATGAATCTGAAGCGCGTTCCCAGCTCAGCCAGCACCGTGACGCGCGGAAGTGTTGCAAGCGCCACAAATCCGAGTAGCGTTCTCACCAGTGGCGTCGGCATGGCTCTCAAGCGGCGACGGAACCCTTTGAAAACAAACGCGGGATCCACAGCGCCATCGAACACAAAGCAGGAGAGAAGAATTCTCAGCCTCAGCAACGTCACTGGCAATCAAAAGTCAATGGATCGGCAAATGCTCCCTGCGGCAAGGGGTCGATTAACCAACCTGAAGCGAAGTCATTCAGTCAAGTCAAGCTATCCCATACGTAAACCTTCGTGGGATAGTCGAGGCTTCACCGCCAACAAAGAAAATGAAGTGGTCAAGGAGGAAGACGAGGAATGTGGCGATGATGAAAGCGATACTGGAACAGAAAGGAGAACTAGCTACACTGGAACTTGCACGGATAGCATGTCCTATGCGACTGGTAGTACACTCTCAACTACAGATCGCCAGTCGAGTTACAGCAGCTCCACCAACGGTTTGGTGGCTGCAGAGCCGGGAACTTGGGTTGAAGAGAGTGAAAGTGGAAGCGAAGACGACCAAAGCCTAGGTGAAGACGGTGATGGCCTCCGAGGGTTAGGCACCAAGAGCGTCGCAAGCACAGAACCTCTAGAATCGCAACCCCGTGACGATGAAAGTTCCGTGGACCCCGGTGGCATGGTAGTCTATGCACAGGCTAGTGACAGTGGCCTGGGAACGGATTTGCCTAGTGTGGTCAACGAAAAGGAGTTTGAGTTTCGCCAGGAATCGATTTATGGCGAGTGTGATTGATAGGCAAAACATAAGTATTTTGCCCATCCTCTCTTTTATTTAACGGTTATTATGGCGTTTTCTTTTCTTGTTCTTCCTTTTGTCTGAATCTCTCTTTTTCAAGCTTTTTCTTTTTCTTTCTCTTTTGGGTTTTGCAAGTCTGATAGCGTTCAGTTACGTGGAAATTGTGGATATGAACGTCGCCTACCTACAGGTGACTATGTTTTGTGACGAATTGATGGACAATTAACAAATGGTGGGAGTTTTCTTTTGCCTTGGGTTTCATTTTCTTGCTTTTATTTTCCCTCTTCCCCTGCTTTCCCCTGTTTTTCGGTTGACATGTTTCATTCCCTAGCGTAGACGATTATTACTAGTTTTAGGACGACATTCTGATTGTTGTTACATAAGCATGCGAACTAGGTTAGGTATGTATTCAGGTTTTTTTTGATACTTCATCAACCGTATAACATAATCTCTGCCCACACTTTGCATAACAACTTTGGAAATAGCATTCCCAAGTCCAAAGTTGTAGCTTTCTGTGGATTTAACTGGTAGTTCAATCAAGGTTTTCGGGAAATCATGTGATTCAGAGTAAGCTAACCTAAATAATCCTAGCGGGGTGTCCAACGTGCTAATAATGTCTTCCCCAACATTCTGGATGTCTTGGCAGGCTGTCAGCTGTTTTGGGTAAAGCGCACGCGGCCGAGGCGTGGCGGTAAAGATACGCTGACTTGCCGGAACACGAGACTGGTATGGTATACCAATAATGCCGAACATCAGCCATTGACCATCAGACACCGGCATCAGACCTCAGCCTCCACACGACCAGGCAGCATGCCTTGAATTTAACTGTGCTCTTTTCTGTCTCTGTCCGTTCTGCCTCGATGGATATCTAATATTGTCCTTCCTTTGAACAGGAGATTACCACCTCACGGCTGCCTCCCAACAGGTGCTTCACCCGCACGTCCTACTGCCTATACGAGACAACAAAGGGGGAGAACGAGTGTATGTGTAGGAGAAATCAAAGCAGGCCACCATGCTGGATCCTATCCCACCACCACCACAATGGTTGCAAGATGCCTTCCGGCCTGTTGCAGAGAAGTTGGGCCTCCATGCCATGACCCTTCACATCCATGAGGTCATCTTCTTTTTCGTCTTCTACCAGCTCATCCAGTCTGTGGTGTCACCCATTCTCTCGAACGCCCTGTTCCCCAAATTCTACCCTCACTTCAACCGTCGAACGAAGCTGAACTGGGATGTTCATGTCGTCTCTCTCATACAAAGCTCTCTTATTAACGCTGTCGCACTTTGGGTTATGTATGCCGACAAGGAGCGCCAGGCGATGACCGCGTCTGAGAGGGTTTGGGGCTATTCTGGTACTTGCGGTCTGATACAGGCTATGGCAGTGGGGTATTTTATTTGGGATCTAATTGTTAGCACGCGGTATATTGGTGTGTTTGGTATTGGGCTTTGGTTTCATGCCGTCAGTGCGTTGTGGGTGTATAGCTTGGGATTCGTAAGTTGGCTTCTTTCTTCTATAGGTCCCCGAGCTTCGAGATGCCAATTGTTCTGGTTGGGTACCTCATAATTCGATAGCCCGATCCCTTCGTATTAATGCTATTTTCAACTAATCACTGTCACTTCGTTTCTTCATATTTAGCGGCCTTTCGTAAACTACTACGCACCAACCTTCATCCTTTATGAGCTCTCTAGCCCATTCCTCAATTTCCACTGGTTTTTCGACAAAGTCAACATGACAGGCAGTAAGGCGCAATGGTACAATGGGATGGCATTGCTGTCGGTTTTCTTCTGCTGTCGCCTTGCCTGGGGCACATGGCAGTCCTTCCGGGTCTTCGTCGACATCTTCACAGTTTATTCACAAGCCCGTGGTAACTCTACCTGGAACCCACCGGATGGACATGTATCAGCAGGTGCAGAAGTTTCCAAATTCGCAGATACGACAATGGCTTATGGCATCCCCCTCTGGCTTGTTATAACATACCTTAGCAGCAACCTCACCCTCAACTCCTTAAATTTCTTCTGGTTCGGGAAAATGATTGAGACTGTCATGAAGCGATTTAGGGTACCTGCGCCCGGCGCTGAGACAAAGGTGAAAGCGGAGGAACAAATTGCCAAGATCAAGAGGGAAATCTCAGATAACAGTGACGCCGTGCTGGAAGCGGCTGCGAAGCTTGAAGAACAAGAGAGACTCTTCAACAATGGAGGTATGCTTGAGTATTCCGATGGGGAGAAGATGACAGTACGAGCCTCAACTGCGACTGCACCTGCTCCTTCGGCCAGGAGGCGGAAAGCATAGACTGGTTTCTCAAGCATACCCATCTCTAAAACAGAGATTTATTCACGCCCGCCCGCCTCCACCCGTTTTCTTTTAGCTCACTCGTTCCTCTCACTTTTGGCCTACCTACGGTAGCTACCAGTCATACTGATGCTGCTATATTCTACTGATGTTCCTGTTATTTTCTTTTATAATGAATGAGGCCCACCACCCAGTTTCACATAGATTCTTTTTTCCCATTCGCGTTCAAACTTGTGCCTCTTTCCCCTTTCGTTCCGGAGCATGAATGAACCAAGGTGGTACAGTTATGGAAAGACTAGTTCTCATGACTTTATTTGTCTTTGATTACTCATTTTTAGTATATGTCCATGCTTACGGGTTATCCATTTCAGCTTTGGTCCAAGCGAGTATCTCTCTATTTATTTATCTCTTTTTCTTTCTTTCTTTCTTTGTCTATACCAGATTTCTATCTAACCAAGTTGATCCCTACTATCATTACACTGCGGAGTATTTTAATTAGAATCAGTTGCATTAAGATATACACCTACGAATATTTGAAGCTGTAAATGGCATATCAGTACTCGTACCAACAGTTTCAGGAGAAAATGAATGAAGTCTTCACTTCCTTATAAGCGACTCATAGGTAAGTATACAGCTAAAAGCTACATAGGATAGGGGAATAAAAGAACTTGGTACAAGTTTAAACCAGCTTCCTCCCAGAAAGCCAACGAGCGCCTCACAGTCACAAGCATGGAAAAATGAGATTAGAACTATGTGTAAGCCTCAAACTCCCACCCCGACAATGCATCATGAAAAATAGTCGCTAGCGAAAGGCCGATATCAAAGAACTTTACGCAGCACCACTGACAACCACCGGTAAGCCACTTGCTCCTAGCATCCTTGCCTTCGCCGGACCATGGAAGGAGTGACTGAAGGTAGTGCATGCGGGATCTTCAAGGAGCATGTCCAGATCCTCTGAATCGGGGGGTAGGCGGAAACCATTGCCAGCCTTAGGGTATAACCGGTGATCTTCTATGTAGATATATTCTTCGTCGTCGTCGTCGTCGCTGGATAGGTCGTTGTTCTTTGAGGGTAAGAAAGTTTCCTCTGTGATGGAGGGGAGATCAGTGATGGTAGGTTGTACGTATTGGTGGCCCGCGACGGTTGATTGAGGGGTTGTTAGGGAATTTTGGGTAGCGAGTGTTGAAACCGAGGTGGTGGACCTGCCGGATACCAGTGGTGGTTTTTCACTCATGCTCGACTGTATTGTTGGTACTTGTGCGGTTGGTTGGAGTAAGGTAGATGATGGTAAGTCTGGGAGGTTTTCAGGGAAGATGGGTAACTCAGGCGTAGAGTTGGAAATATCTAGGAGAATGTTAACGAGGTGAGAGTGGGAAAGACTGCATAAATATCCTCGTTTCTGTTCTAGGGAGAACTGTGCACCACCAACTTTGGTCTCTGAAGGTAGAGTAGGTAGATAATTGGAAGTATCTATCCTATTGATAGAGGCTTGTTGGGCGTTGGACGTGGCCGACATCTCGTCTGACGAAGCGTCAGCAGGAGGCCGACACTCTTTGCAGAACCACTTCAGCTCTTTCACGGTAATCACCTCCTTCTCAATCGGAGGGTCATGGCAAAACTGGTGCCAGGGGCGATTGCAGTCATCGCAAAACACAATCACATTAGCAGCAGGGCTATGGCCTCTCTCGCAACGTTTGCATACTACATTCATTTCTTTGCCCTTGCGATAGACTCTCCTCCGCTTCCGTGCTGGTGACGAAGATGACACATCGGCGCCCGTGGGTGATCCTGATCCTGTAGCAGCTAGCGCGGGATAAAACACTGTTGGTCGATGAATTTGCCGACCTGACTTGGTTTGTGTAGTGACCGAGGCAGCTTCATCGCAAGACTCATCGAAGCTAGAATCACCAGCTCTAATTACCCCGTCGTCATCGTCCATACTATTGTTCCTCCCCGTTCTGCGCCTTTTGGATCCCTTCTGGCCACTTTTGCGACGACGTATTGTTGTCGTCGTCGTCCTCTGCGGTTTCGATCCGGATGTTGGAGTGGCAAAGGGGGTACCAGGACGTGGAGCAATTTTCCGCAGGTGCGTACTTTTGGCACCAGCTGGATTGGACGCTGTTGGGGTAACATTGTCGTTAGATTTTCGGGAATTGTGAATACCAATCTGGCTTGGTGTAGCAGGTGGTTGGGGTTGCTGTTGAAACATGATATCCGTAGAAGACAATGTCTCATTCGGCTGATCTGAGTCGGATTGGAGCATCCATCCATCTTTTGCACATTCCTTCTCATCATTTTCACCGTTTTCTAGAGGTTTAGAAACAACCAGCCCAGCGCTCAATCCACTGGGGATGGAACATGTAGTCTCCCCGACGCTATTGATGCTGTTCATAACGGTGCTGGCGCTGTCGCTCGCACGGATTTGTGGATTTGTCCAACTACTATTTGCACGGGCTAAAAGCTCCGCAGTTGCAGCGGAAAGTTTGGGGATGCCGGGAGAATCTCCTACAGAAGAATCTGGCGTGCCAAATGCCTCAGAAGAAACCTGAGAAGCAGTCGTGGAAATTGATACAGGTGTAGATGTGGACGCTCCGATTCCCTGAAGCGAAGGTAGATCTGGTTGAGGGTGGACGGACGGAATGGGCTGGGATTGGTCCGGCGACGCCATGGCGATAATAGCAACATGAGAAGCTATACTGGATATGATCTTACTAATATATCTTGAAAAATGCAATGGAAGACTCTTTTCTACCTATAACTATATTATTCTCTCCTTTACAATTTGCAGATAGAGGGAATTTCGCATGTTGGTGATTACTACGCCTAGAACAAGAGCCAAGGATGGGATGGCCACATCGGAGACTACACGTCAGCTGACCCCTCGCGTAGGTCAGCTGACCCCACACAAATCTTGTAGCGTCCGCCCCAGTGGCGTTGCCGTAGCGACCGCTCCGCCTACACGTGATCTCATATGTAATATATATATAGCTAGCTCTTCTCACATGAATACAACAGATTAACCATTCCACAGGTTATAGCCCAGATAGCACATTTTTACAAAGAATTACATTATTTTTATTTTTAATTTTTATTCTTACTTTTGTTTAAAAACACCTGTGTAAGCATTGAATGTGTTCATCTTAAATAGAAGAATTCTTTTATTACATTTATATTACATATTTCAAGTATATCTGCTTAATTAGTAATTGAAATAGCAGAACTCTATAATATAATATAATACATTTTTTTTTCAATTTCTCTATTCAACTCTTCTTTAACTAATGAGTGATTTGTCTACATTACAGAGTAATAGAAGAAGAACTTTATATTTATATTTTTATACTTAGATATCTATTAATAAAGAATCAGAGAAAATA